ACGCCGCGCTTTGAGAAACTGTCAATCACAGCTATCAATCACGATGACACGCCCAGCATTAAATTACTGCTAAAAACAAACTGTTTACAAAAATGAAGATCTGCACCTATTTCAGCACAATAACCAGTGCCTTAATCGACCAGAACTATCTTTCGAGACATTTTATTGCAAGTGTAATATTTTTTTTTATTTGGGCTCAAGTCTCCTTCATTAACACGGAGGAGGCGGGCTTTATGACTTGTACTGCAGCCAGCCCCCAGGGGGCGATCTAACGGCCGAGACCTTCACTCAAACGCAGGCTTGCAGCACACTTGGTTTAAACTGGCTATCTCTCAACCAATAAGCATAGGTTTCGCTTTGTGGACCAACAATGAGCTTTTTGAAGAACATGGAATGAGAGATAGGCTCTACATTTACGCGCGGCTAAATAAAACGCCAAAAAATAAGTTTTGCATGAAATAATTCTCATACCAAGTACTTTTGCATGCACAACAGCACAGAAACATGACAAAACAGTGGCACAGCTGGCACATAAAACCTAAGGATGGTCCATATTGAATCTAGTTTAGTTATGTGACTATTTATAGTATAGTAAATATTTATATCTACTTTTTACTGAGGATTTGCACCATGTTTATTTGGACTTTGAAGCAAAAGATTCAAAGTAAATCGGCAAACTGCCACTTTAGCTCTCAAAAAATTTTTAATGTCAATATTACAACGTTTCGACCGACATGGTCTTCATCAGGTGATCACCTGATGAAGACCATGTCGGTCGAAACGTTGTAATATTGACATTAAAAATTTTTTGAGAGCTAAAGTGGCAGTTTGCCGATTTACTTTAAGTCTTTTGCTACTTATGTTTGTTTTTTGATCGTGCACCTACCTTCAAGATTTTCTAGATGTGCGCACATTTCTGTTATTTGGACTTTGACACATTATTTATTATTTTCTTATTTTTCTTATTTGTTCATTGTAAGTGGTGTTGTTTATAGTCACTGAAAATATATTATTTGGAAAAAGTCAAATTTTTATATATATATTTTTAAAATATTTTGTAACATTTTTTTCTGTTTAGTTCATTCCCAGAACTTTTGGGCAAATACATTGTATACATAAATGCACCCCCCCCCCCCTCCTTGAAAAACGCCTTGGAATAACATTGAAATAAATTGCTATAACTTGCTCAGGGAATAGTGGATGTAGACAAAATTTATTTTGGAAGTATAAAACATCATAGTATGTATTTCTAAAGAAAGAAAAACAAACTTTATAAGGTTTTGTGTGTAATAACTAGAAAATGCCACTTTTTAAAAAATCGTTTCTGGAAAATTCTGGAATATTTTCTGTCTGTTCATATGTTTTTGGACCAAAATATATTTTAGACTGGACCTTTAAATGACACAGATTGAAACTTCAGGTTCTCCTGTTTAAAATAATATATGACACTTGAGGCTGACTGCTAAAATAAAAATAAATCTGCTTTAAAAAAATAATAATAATATAGGCCCATTAGGTGCCCACAAAATACCTCTAGGTCTTTAAGGGTTAAAAGATGCGAGATGTGAGATCAATGGTCAAACGCAGTCGTTAAGCTTGTGTTTGCATTAAAAAACAATGGTAAAAGTAGCACATTGGAGAGAAAGAACACATTTTGTGTGAACAGCCCCTTACAGTTACTCATATAGTAGACCTTTTGGGTTTCTTTATTGTCTCTTCAATTGTTTCTCTTAATGCACTAATGGTTTACAGAAAGATCTTGTTATGTTTTTACGTGATTTCATCTAAATAAAAAACAAACGAGCAAAATTACAACAATCTTGGTCTTAAGTTTTGTTAGTTTAGCAGGCTAATTTTGTGTTGAGTCGCTTTTAAAGAGCTGCCTGCGTTTGTCTTTGTGTTCCTCGTGTCTTTAAGTGAGGTAAATCCTGTTTGTATCCAATTTCACAGCATTTCAGCAAAACAACCTGATTATTGTCCAACAATCCTGCGTTTTAGCCCATGAAACACTCTGTGGCCTCGCTTTTAGACTTTGTTTGGCCTGAGGCTGTGGAGCAATCTCAGTAAATTGGGTTTTCCAATAGAGGAAGACAGCAGGAAGAAGAGGAGAAGCTTTTAAAAGAAACACATTAGTGAGTAAACAGAGACGGACCGATTCCAGATGTTTCAATGCTAGAATGTGTTCAAGTGAGCTCAAATGTCTGTCGGCTTTTTCACATGTTGTGCCTTTTGAGGTGATTTGTAGATTTACCGCAGAGCCAAAGCTCTGGGGTACATTAATTCTGTTTTGATAAAACCTAATTTGATTAATGAGCATTGGAGGAATGTTTATTATTATTTCAGTATTATTTCAGTGTGTTTCGAGTGTGGAAGGTTTTAAGAAAAATTTACAGCATGTGTCTACTGTAGGTTTTTTTGTGTGCAGGATACTAGTATTCAGCTTAAAGTGCAATTCAAAGGCTTAACTTAGTCAAGTTCGGTTATAGGCAAGTGATTGGACAACAGTGGTTTGCAGCCAGTTGAAGGGGTACTAATATTATTGCCTTCAGCAGTTTTTACATTTTTATTATTATGACTTTTTTATTCCAGCCAAACTAAAATAAAGTGGTTAGCACTGTCATCTTACAGCAAGAAGGTCGCTGAAACAAGTCGCGTCTGGCTTGGTTGACATTTCTGTGTGGAGTTTGCATGTTCTCCCTGCGTTGGTGTGGGTTTCCTCTGGGTGCTTCGGTTTCCCCCACAGTCCAAAGGCATGTGTTACAGGTGAATTGGGTAAGCTAACTTGCCCGTAGTGCATGAGTGTGTGCATGAATGAGTGTGTGGATGTTTCCCAGAGATGAGTTGCGGCTGGAAGGGCATCCGCTGCGTAAAAACGTGCTGGATAAGTTGGCGGTTCATTCCGCTGTGGCGACCCCAGATTAATAAAGTGACTAAGCCGACAAGAAATTGAATGAATGAATGAAATTGGCCGTAGTGTATGACTGTGTGTGAATGAGAGTGTGTATGGATGTTTCCAAGTGCTGGTTCATTCCGCTGTGGCGACCCCTGAGGAATAAAGGGACTGAGCCAAAAAGAAAATGAATGAAGAAGTCTTGGAGAAGGTTTTGGGAGTATTTACAGTATGTACCTTCTGTAGTAAGTTAATAGTATTCAGCTTAAAGTGCAATTTAAAGGCTTAATTTGGTTAAGAAGGCAAGTCTGGTTTTAGGCAAAGGATTGGACAACAGTGGTTTGGTCTACAGCCAATCGAAAAATAAAACAACACAATTTCAGCTGGACGGGCATCCACTGTGTAAAATATTTGCTGAATAAGTCGGTGGTTCATTCCGCTTTGGAGACCCCTGATAAATAAAGATACTATAAAGGAAATAAAGGAAATGAATGAATTAATGAATAAATGAAATTAAATTACACTTAAATTACATTTTTTTTTACAACACTGCAGTTTTATTTTGCTGTATTTAAAAAGTTTTTTTTTTTCAAAACAGCATATTCACATGGATAGTTATTTTTCGAGAATTAGTTTTTACAAAGCTTATTTTAAAAAATGCATTAAATTTCTAGATTAAAGACGTCATTTTTCAAGAAATAAAAACTTGTTAAATTTCGAAATTTTAAGATGAATGTAAATTAAATGGTCTTAAATGGTCCGCAAACATTTTACAGCTTCACAGAAATCTTTCCCTCAAGTAATGATTTTTGTTAGTTGTTCAGAGTACTTATTTAAAATGAGCTGAATCAATACAATTCTTGAGTTTTTTTTGGGACAATTTAATTGTTTTATGTTCAATCCACCTAAATAACTTAACTTACAGTAATCGATTTGTGTAGGGACAACATGAAGGAAAAATGTGGAACCCAGTATTTTTACAGTATTCTTTGTACACTAAAAATATCCAAAATTAGCAGTTTTCTGTATTTTGTGACTCAGGTTTTTATTTATTATTTTCGCTGTTTATTTATGCTTTTGAGGTGCATTATGGGAGCTTGATCATTCATCCAACAAACTTTAAACCTGGAAAAAAAGTGACTTTAATGAACTTTTTTAAGTTTACAGTGATATATTGTCTGGGTTGGTGTTGTATGTTATGATACAAACCCTTTGTAATAAACTGCCAGTACATTATCAGCTATTTTACACACTTATTATCTCTCTATATATTATCTCTTATACATTATATTATTTTCAAAAGACTAAAATATCAATAAAAGTCATTTTATTTAACTCCAGAGTTGAATTTTCAACATCAAAAGTCGACAGAGCAGAGATCGACATCCCATAATGCAATTCACAACCGTAAACAAAAGGAAAACACATAATACGGAAAGTTAATTAAGAGATATATTTTACAGTGTAAGTGCAAATCTGTTTGTTAGGATTGTTGTAGTTTTAACGCCAGATCTGTATTTATTTGTGTATGTTAAAGTGAGTAACATTTACAAAGTCGAGCCTTTTTCTAAGACCAATGGGTGAGCAGTGTTGACAGATGAGCCGTCCTCAACCTCCACACTGGTCATTTTCAGGCCCTCAGGACAGTTCAGGGGTCAAAGGTCATCTTTTAAGTTGACATCTCACCTCTACAGGATGAGACTTTCTCCCCTTCACTCAGCAAACATGTCAGAGAGACGTGATGGAGATGTTTTAGGCTCACATTGAAGGCAACTTTACTAATGAAGTGAAATTGGGACAGCACGGTGGCTCAGTGGTTAGCACTATTGCAATGAAGGTTGCTGGTTCAAGTCCAAACTGGTCCAGTGAACATTTCTGTGTGGAGTTTGCATGCTCTCCCTGTGTTGACGTGGGTTTCCTCTGGGTGCTCCTGTTTCCCCCACAGTCCAAACACATGTGCTATAGTGTGTGTGAATGTGAGATTATGGGTGTTTCCCAGTACTGGGTTGTTGCTGAAAAGTCATCCGCTGCGTAAAACATATGCTGCAATAGTTGGTGGTTCATTCCGCTGTGATAAATAAGGGACTAAACGTTTTTGTTTTCATTTCAGATGTGTGATAAATGGAGAGGAGCTGATCCATGATCTGAAATCAACAAGCAAAGCTTCTGATCATCTCAAAAACTGGAGATGACTTTGCATGAAAACATTGACCGAACAAAACACAACCAAACAGCAGTAGATTCATCTGTTCCCTCACACCAGACGTCCTGATTCACACAATGACTGTAAAAACCAGCAAATGTGTGTGTCTCCTCTTGCTGGGCCTGATCCAGCTGATTCGAGGCTCTCTGGTCAAAACCAACGCTGTCCTGAAGGTGAAAAGAGGTCAGTCGGTGTTTCTGCAGGAGGACGATCTGCAGTTTCGTATTCCCAGAGTCAAGGATTCCTGCAAGCTGGAGGTGGTGCTGAATGAACCGATCACACAGCGGGTCGGCTCTCTGACGCCACAGGTACACTCAGCAATTGATGATACATCAGACATTTGTGACAACATGACGTTAATGTTTTCATCCAGCTCAGGCTCAGTGGAAATAAGTGTCTTAGCCTATGTTTTTTTAAAAAGTAAATTGCATTGCTCTTGGTACAGTATGTTGCATTCAAGACAGACTCATTGGGAAAATGTGCCCAGGGATACAGTCTTATTTGTTTTATTTCGGCTAGAATAAAAGCAGTTTTTAATTTTTTAAAAAACAATTTTAAGGTCAAAATTATTAGCATCTTTAAGTTTTTTTCTTTCGATAGTCTACAGAACAAACCATCACTACACAATAACTTGCCTAATTACCCTAACCTGCCTAGTTAACCTGATTAACCTAGTTAAGCCTTTAAATGTCACTTTAAGCTGTATAGAAATGAGTTATTAAAACTATTATGTTTAGAAATGTGTTGAAAAAAATCTGCTCTACCTTAAACAGAAATTGGAGATAAAAATAAACAGGAGGGGCTAATAATTTTGACTTATATTTAATTTTATTCAATTATTATTTTACTTATTGTCTGTTCTTTCTACACCTTTTTCGCATTCAACAGGTTTTTGACTGTCACTTTATGGCTGATGAGGTGAAATACACTCATAATGGATGTCCAATTTTAAAAGAGGACACTGTTAAACTTCGTCTTTACAGGTATTTATTTTGATTTCGTAAACTAGTATGGATGTATACACAAATACTATGCTTGTTTTTTTTTGGTAACACTTTACAATAAGGTTGTATTAGTTAATGTTAGTTAATGTATTTATTAAGTGAGTTAGTTTGTTGACTTTATTGGTACCCGTAGGTGGAGTCTTTTTGCAGCAAAGTTTGGCGTTTGATACAAACAATTAAATCACACATATATACATACCCACATATACACATACAAATAATACCTTATAAAAAATTACAATTTATTTAGAGCGACAATAGATGATGGGACAAAGCTAATCCTGAACCGTTTTATCCCACTAAAAAGCATCTGAAACCTTCGACCCGAAGGGAGCAGAAAAAACTCCTCAGACAGAGGATGAGAGCTGCAGCTACTAATGTTCTGGGCTATCCGTAAAAGCTGGCTACTATACAGGGATTCAATACTTAGCTGTGTTTCACCAATCAACCTAGACCACCTAATAACCTGTCTCAGTCTATTCCTGTTTTTGAGAGACGGACCTCCAAACCATGCCACCAGAGCGAAGGATAGAATAGACTCAATAAAAGCACGATAAAAAAGAGTAAGCATAATGTGAAAACGAGATAGTTTCCTAAGACAATATGCCCCTTCTTGCACATAGCATCATAGTTTGCCTCAAAGTTTAACGATCGGTCAACAATGGTACCCAAATATTTGTAGTTCTCCACACATTCTACTTTTTGACATCTGATATTAGTTGATATGTATAAGATGACGAAGCAATGAACAATACATTTATTGCTGAGTGTATTCATATTTATTAATGACTTTCCGCATCTGATGACACGTACAAAGAGAGAACGTCAATCAAAGTGTTTCTGCAGACTGACTTTATAGTGTAATTAATAAAAATAGTGCTGTCAATCGATTAAAAAATAATTACACTTTTTTTTAAAAAACTAATCGCGATTAATCACATTTAAAAGACTGAAACTTGTAATTTTGGCTATTCAAATGTGAAATTAATGTAAACGCAAGACAAAAACTATTTCAATTCAAAATATAATTGTTTTTTAGAATTTTAGTTTAACTTGTAACACAGATTTCTTCATGTAAACAACAAACCCACAATAAACCATCAAGATCCAGCTTGACAGCCATATTTATTACAGAAATAAAAACACAGGCATGTTAATGCCATTTGAATTTCAAAACAATCAATAAAGAAAACATTGATTTCCAGGTTGGATTCTAAGTGGACTGCAAAAAAAAAGAAAAATTGCCAAAATACAGGCATTGCAGATATGGAAGTTGGAAAATTTTAATAATAATAATGAAGTATTGAATACAAACAGTTGTACGCATTGTAAAGTTGTATTGCTGTGAGTTGAGAACAATAATTATAAAGTTTTCAATTTTGCGCACACACAGACCAGGGTTATGCACAGGGGGGTGGCCCGGCTAGAGCCACTGCCCCTCTGCCCTCATTGGCTTAGGTGCTGCTCTTAGGTACTTGCTCTTCACTTTGCGATCGCGTTGCAGCACCTGCCCCTAAGGTTCTGTGCACGGGCCTAACAGACACACACACATAACGCCCGCGGGGCTGCGCAGAGAGCGACTCCCTTTAGATTCAACACGCATGATCGTGTTCATCAAATTTGCTTACTAAGCATTCTAAAGTATGGCTGTATTTCACAAGGATTCTGACACAACAACGCGAAGCATACGCTTTCGTTGCGTTTAAGGAGGAAACACGTCAAACTTACTAAATCATTGGAGGGCTCATGCTGAAAGGCATTGGGATGTAGATCTTTGACAGCTCGTGACTTCATTGACACTTTCTAAGTAGTCTACATTTACATAAGACACTAGTTCTCCGATTTTAATCTGTTTAAGATAGGAAGTTAAAAAAAAACCCTGCAACTGCATTAATTGCGTAAATTTTTTTAACGCGTTAATTGTCACATGCGTTAACGCACTAATTTTGACAGCACTATATAAAAATGAAGTTAATACATTTTAACCATTAGAAGCTGGTTATATTCTTAGACTGTTGCCACACAACTGTGTTTGAGTGCCTTATAAAAGTGATTTCTGCATAATTAATGTAGATTATGTTGTTTAGATTTACAGAGACGGAGACGTACAGCGAGCTCTTCTCTCTCCGTGTTGAAATCCTGGAGCCTGAATGTAATGTGATTCAGTTCGGATCACAGCAACTCGTGGTGCCTGAGTTTTACGGCCTCTCGAACGTCCTGGATGGAAACGTCGTGTCCTTCAATTATGAACACAGACACAATATTGAGTGCACAATTCGGGTGACGGGTCTGGAGACGCATTTACCTGTTCACGGTCAGCTGGTGACTGGAGAACCAGAGAAAGCAGACGGGCCCAGAGGAGATGAACCCGACAGCTTCGTTTCTCTTAGGAGACAGCTGGGTAACAAGCATCACATTATAATAATCATGTTTTCCTAATTCACAAACACATTAAACACATAAAAACTGAGTGCTGATTAAATATTACGGTAACACTTTATAATAACTACACACTATAAATCATTTATTAAGCATTAGCAAATAGTGAACTCATTATCTGTTAGGGCGTTAGCTCTACATTAATAAACATTAGTAAGCAGTTTATAACTGCAGCTACAAATGCTCTATTCTTGACTTATAAGCACCTATTTAATGTGCTTAATACTTGTATTTTCATACTTAGTAAATGATTTATTTTTCATTACTAAATTAAGTATCACATTATTTACAAACCAGTTGTGTTTAAGAGTAGTTTAGGGTTTTTAGGATCATTCAGATTGAGTTGGTAAATGATTAATAAACTATTGAAATCAATGTTTATATGTCTTATTATTCAGGCATATACTAACAGTTAACTAATATGTTAATAAATGCTTTATTAACTCAACTACATCTAATTTTGTGACCTATTCTAAAGTGAGGACTATTCCTGCTTTATAAATCCCTTATAAATGACAAATAAAGGCTGAGAATCAAATGAACGATAATCTGTGCAATCTTTCTAAAAAGTGAAAATACTGTAAAGTTTAATCATTGCTGAATAACAGGAGTGTCAAAATATGACATCCAACTGGATAAAACAACAACAATATAATAATTAAACAATAAAATAAGATGCAATGTTTAAACTCTACACTGATTTTATTTTTAGATAAGCTTGCAAAGATTTATTTTTCATTTAAAGCACAGTTTTATTTGTGTATCTTTAAATGACTAGGAATGAATAATGTCTTTTTTCCTGTTTAGAATTTAACCGAGCCTTTATTTGTCGTTTATAAGGGATTTATAAAGCATGAATAGTCCTCACTTTCGATTAGGTCACAAAACTAGGTGAAGTTGAGTTAATAAAGCATTTATTAATATACATATATGCCTGAATAATAAGACATATAAACTTTGATTTCAATAGTTTTTTTTAATCATTTACTAACTCATTCTGAATGATCCTAAAAACCCTCATCTACTCTTAAATACCAATGGTTTGTAAATAATGCGGGACTTAATTTAGTAATGAAAAATAAATCATTAACAGAGTATGAAAATACAATCATTAATCACATTATATAGGTGCTTATAAGAATACAGCATTTGTAGCTGCAGTTATAAACTGCTTACTAACGCTTATTAATGTAGAGTTAACGCTTAACAAATAATGAGTTCACTATTTGCTAATGCTTAATAAATGATTTATAGTGTGTAGTTATTATAAAGTGTTACCAATATTACTGCAAATATACAGTTGAGTAAAATCCCCCCCCCCCTCCCCCTCCCCCATGCAGATAATAAAGCCAGAGCTCACTGTAAGACTGATGACTGCCTGAAGGGTCTCAAACTGCTGAAAATCACCAAAGTGCCATGCAATGACTTCCTGATGATGGGCATCCGCTACCAGCACACCGACCCTCCGTCTCCACATACAGACTACATCTCCATCAGACTGGACCTCACAGACACCCGGAGCAGGAGCATAATACAGGTGTTAATCCTAAATTCACATTACATTCACATTACTGTGTTGTCTCCATGCCAGATAAAGGTTTGGTATTAAAACAACAGGTAACTCTTTATTTGAAGGGGAAAATGAGGAGAGGAAAACCATGTCAGTCTGCTTCTTTATTCTTAATATAAAGTACAGATATTACTAGGGATGTAACGGTATCAGAATTTCACGGTTCGGTAATACCTCGGTATGAATGTCACGGTACGGTATTTATTGAATCATTTACAGGAAAAAACAAAACTTATGAAAATACTCCAAAAAAGTGCCAAAAGTGTCAATGACATACAAATTAGCCATCTATCTGTAAGCTTTGAAACAGGAACTTCAATTTTAATAACAAAAAAATATTAAACCATGTAAAAAAATAAAGTTTCAATTTAGTATTGTTGAAAACTCATCACATTCAACATTTAATCCCTCACTCACTTAGATAGAGATGGGTTTAAAGGAAAATTATCATATAAATATAATCTGGTAAAAGCTGGTATCTCTGGGCATTTACAATGTCCCCTGCAACAGAAAAAAACCCTCTCATTTGGGACTGAGGTTTCTGGGACAGAGAGATATGACTTGGCCCAGGTTGACAGCAGTGGGTAACGTTGTGCATTGTCTTTTCCCCACTTGAGAAGACAAACCATGAGTAAGATAGAGATCTCATGTCTGCATCATTCTGAACAGTGTGCTGACAACACCGCTATTCAGTACGCGCGCGACAACACAGCTGATAAGAACTCGCGCGACAACACCGCTATTCAGTACGCGCGCGACAACACAGCTGATAAGAACTCGCGCGACAACACCGCTATTCAGTACGCGCGCGACAACACAGCTGATAAGAACTCGCGCGACAACACCCGCTTTAGAGTTTTCCAGCTCTTTTTCATCCCCGCTTCTAGCAGCACACTCCATTTCCGCGTTACTGGATCTGTAGCGACAACAGACCGCAAGGGATGATGGTCAAGCATGGGCTGATGGGAATTGTAGTTTTCGCTACCTCCCGTTCGCTTCATTCGCCTGAGCAAATTTTCTCAGAAGACCTATAGTTTTACCGAGTCATGCGACTACGGTAATATCGAAAAAAATTAATATTGCGGTATTTACAATACCGTTACATCCCTAGATATTACACAACCCATTCTTTCATCTGAAGACTTAGTTCTGTCCATCTGTCCATCAGTCAGAGCAGGCCTGGATCCCGGTGACCATTACAGGCGCTCTCCCCAACCAGCCGCCCAAACCTGCCTTCATGTCCATGTTCATCCTGGAGGTGGATCAGTTCATCCTGACTCCTCTCTCCACTGCGACTGTGGACGCGGAGGACGACGAGACGCCCAAGCAGAGGCTGGTGTTCAACATCACTAAACCCCCCAGTGAAGGCTTCATTACTCACCTGTCGGACCACACCAAACCAGTGTCCTCCTTCAGCTGGACGGATCTGAATGGCATGCTGATCAGCTTCCAGCCTCCCAACTCCAGCGCCACACATCGCAGGAACTACGAGGTGAAACACGAATGCTTTAACATACTGTTTGTTTTTTTTATTGTATTTTTTTAAAGGGCCATGAAACCCCCTCGTTTCAGCAGGGTGTTTTCACACCTCTACTTTGGAAAAAGTCAGAAAAGTGGGCGTGTCCATCTCTGTTTAGGGGGGAGTGTCGGAGGAAGAAAAGTGGGATGGTGTGGGAGTGTCTATTTGGGCACGCGAGTTTCAGAGTCAAAACACACACACACACACAGTATAAAAGTGATGGTGTTTAACCCACATGGACATCTGTAGTCGAATTATTTGCCAAATTATTAAATGTTGGACTTTAACTGCAGTTTGGCTCTTTCATTCAGGGAACTCATTCATGCCCCTCGCGACAAACGAGATATTTGATTCGAGGATCTGCTCTAAGCGTGTATTTTTCATGCAATGTTTGATACCGCACGGCGAATGAGAGAAAAAAAACCTCAGTATTTTCCGGAAACTTAGATGCACACGACAGGTAGTGTCAGAAAGCCGCGTGTGTTATTCCGGTCACTAAATGCGGTAAAAACCCTACACGAGGTTAAAGTTCGGTTGTGGTGCTAACATGTTTACACTCGGTGCAATAGTTAACTTAGTTCGATACAAACAAACTGAATAAACAAAGAGCACTGGTCGCTCACTTACCAAATCTGTAGAGATTTGACAATCACCAGCAACTAGAGCCACGTCTTTATTAAGAGGAGACTACAAGCGAATCCGGATCTCAGCGTTTGCAGATGAGAACAGCTCTCAGGTAAACAATGTTCCTCCTTAGACACGTAAGTTATTGTTGTCGAGCGTCGCGTACACTGTTAATCCACACGTGACTCCAGCTGAGCTCTCACAGAGAGAAAATTAAAACAAAATTTAACTGCAGCAAACTATAAAAGCAACACTTCATGCTTGTTTTGCCAACACAACGTGGCGTCTCTGTCGTCTAAACACTGTGACAGTAATGCATATTAATGAAGTTGCACAATAGAGCGCGCTGATTGGTTTGAACCAAGCCTTACTCATGCATTAAAGCATCACACTGTAAGACGTAATAAGACTCACTCTGGCACAGACGCCCAGTCTGCACGCTGGAATACACGCTATTATGTCATGACCGTGACGCAGCTTCAAAAATTCGTTTCAAACAGGAAGTACGAATTTGCTTGAAATAACGCAAAAACAACCAATTTACACTTTTTAGTGAAATATAGGTGTCCTAATAGTGTTTTTAGCAGTGTGGGACACATATACGACTATCAACAGCTCATTAAAATGTGTTTTGGTGTTTCGTGACCCTTTAACATGATGTTAAATATGCCTGTCATGTCCCTAGAGTTTGTATGTGAAGTTCCAGCTCGAAATACACCACAAATAACTTTTTAAAACTATTTGAAACTTCCCATTTTAGGCTTTGATCCTAATTGTGTCTTTTTGGCGACTCTCACTTTAAATGCAAATGAGGTTGTGCTCTTTTCAAAAGAGGGAGGAGCTACAAAGGCCAATGTGTCAACATAGTGGCATATTTAAAACAGGACAAATGTTATCTCTGTGAAAAGCTGAACATTTCTAAAGAAGTGCCTCAAAAGAATGCAGTTTACAGAGACTCCAGTGTTCATTTGTGCATCCTTACACTCCACATTAATAATCCTCTTAGCCACTGACGTTATCTTCAGCAGGTACAGTGTGATGGTGGATGGCTGCTTCTCACTCAGGGCTGTTTATGTTAATAAGGAAGAGATTGTCAGTGACAATCATTAAAAAAGTACTTTAAACAAGCAGCATAAGCCATTTTTTGAGTGTATTGTGTATAACACAAACGTTTAGCACAACCGCACCCAAGTCAATGTTTTTGATTTTTTTTTGTCAGCTAAAACTCCAATAACTCTGAGGGAGATTTGTTATATATATTAACTTTATAGAGCGATATAAAGGGCAACGCCACTATCAACACCGACCAATCGCAAAATCGTTTCGTTTTAAATATTCCAGCATTCCAAAATATCGATATTTTTGTCAACACTACTTTCAAAATAAGAAGAAAAATAGTATGCACCTCCACCATTGCAAACACAAATGAAATGAATCATTAGAAATTAGTTAAATGTGTTAACACACACACACACACACACACACAAATATTTCACAGGAAGGCATAAGAATAATTTTGACTTCAACTTTAAATTTCTACCAGCACTTTGAGAGTCAAAAACATATTCATTCATTCATTCATTCATTCATTCATTCATTCATTCATTCATTCATTTATTTTCGTTTTGGCTTAGTTCCTTTATCAATCTGGGGTCGCCACAGCGCGATGAACCGCCAACTTATCCAGCACACTTTTACGCAGCAGATGCCCTTCCAGCTGCAACCCGTCTCTGGGAAACATCCATACACACCCATTCACGCCCATACACTACGGACAATTAAGCCTACCCAATTCACCTGTACCGCGTGTGTTTGGACTGTTGGGGAAACCGGAGCACCCGGAGGAAACCCTCACGAACGCAGGGAGAACATGCAAACTCCACACAGAAATGCCAACTGACCCAGCCGAGGCTTGAACCAGTGACCTTCTTGCTTTGAGGTGACAGCACTACTTACTACGCCTCAAAAACATATATATGGGCATAGCAAAATGAATTCTTATAACACCTGATAATACACTTACATGGTTTAAGATAAAAAATCTGTAAAGTTTTACTGATAAAAAGTCACCTCATATTTTAATTTTAAAATGTTTATGTTAACTTTTTTTAGTGTACTATCCTTTCAAACAGAAGTTTTTATTTCCCTCTTGTAGTCATGCATTGTTCTTTTCTGCTAAGGTGGAGTTTGAAGTGCATGATTTCTACTTTGAGAAAAGCCAGCCTGTGACGGTTCACGTGTCCATCAGGACAGCGGATACCAATGCACCAAGAGTCTCCTGGAATATGGGTCTGTATTGAGCATACCTTAATGAATCTTTTAATAATAATATAAATTATAAATTATAAATAATTAATATAAATTGAATATTTTTAGCCATTTCTCACTGAATATGGCCAATATATTTTGGTGCATCTTAACAAAACACTTTTCTTCATAAGAGTTTGGCCAGCTAACATCTTTAGGAATGGACAGATGATGCATTTGATTTAATAATTTATTAAAATAAAAACGACAAATTACTCAATTTCAATTGTATAATTTTTTCAAAGATTTTTCTAATTTTTTTGATTTTCTCCCCTACATACTAATTTGGGTGTAGTAATTTTTTAACTTTTTGTTCTTATTTTTGTGGCTACATTATGTTGGCTCAGTGGTTAGCACTGCCGCCTCACAGCAAGAAGGTCACTAGTTCGAGTACCGGCTGGGCCAGTTGGCATTTGTTGAGTTTGCATGTTCTCCCTGTGTTGGCATGGGTTTCTTCCGGGTGCTCCGGTTTCCCCCCACAGTCACACACATATATACACTATAGGTGAACTGGACTAAATTGGCCGTAGTGTATGAGTGTATGTGTGAATGTATTTCTTTGTTGTGGCTGAAAGATCATCCGCAGTGTAAAACATATGCTGGAATAGTTGGTTGTTCATTCCACTGTGGCAACCCCTGATAAATCAGAGACTAAGCTGAAGGAAAATGAGGTTTTGGAATATTAAAAGGATGCTTAAATGATGATAATCATTATGATTTTCATTTTTGGATGAACTATCCCTTTAATAGGTCTCAGTCTGTTGGAAGGTCAGTCTCGCCCAATCACATGGGATCAGCTGCAGATTGTTGACAACGACAACCTGAAGGCTGTGAAGATCATCACTGTGGACGGCCTGCAGCACGGCAGACTCACTGTTAGAGGTATACAATCTCTATACAGATGATTTATATTATCTTTAATTCGGATACAGTAATATTAAAAGCACAACATGGATCATTTTTTGCATTAAAATATCCAAAAACCACTAGAACAGTGTTATATATTTTGCTGACTTCTAAACTTGAATTAGCAAGGTTAGAATTAAACTGCTGCCCTCCAGGAACTGAGTTCGACATGCCTGCTTTACAGTTTTTTCCAATTGTTTACACACATTTTCTGTAAGCAGGTCTCATATTGTCAGAACTCTACACACAAATTACAAAACACACACACACATTGGGCAAAACTTTTCAATTCTTCTGCAAAATGAAACTCTATGTTCAAAACGATGTAATTTCTTCTCAAAATGGTATTTTGTTTTGAAATGACACACACAAGCCATCTCATCAATCGACAATTATAAGAACAGTTGAACACTGATGTGCTTAATGTAAAACACTCTGACCATTCATCATAATGACTTACTGTCAGCCTTTTTTGTTCAGTGTTACACTTACTACAGACAGACTGTACATAGGCCTACAGAAGTGCACTGTAAAATATTTCAGAATATTGTTTTATACAAAACACACAAATACCAAATACATTTTACTGTATTTTCCCCACAAAAACTGTGTACACAGCGTTCGTCCCAACCAACACAAAGTTGCAGATAACGTGATCTACATTTACCATCAACAGAAATATTTACAGAATACAGTTACAGTAAAAAACAAAACAAAACAAAAAAGCAGCTATAATGCATCCTCTTTTCTGTTTGGTCTGGCCAAGCAGCGGAGGAAATGTCACCTTGCATGGTGAATTCAGCCATGAAAAGCATCAACTGCTATGGGGGTATACGTGGGTGTGTGGATTTCGGTCATACACTTTCCATCTCCGGGCAGAAAAACAATTCCTCAATAGGATTGAGGAATGGAGAATATGGAGATAAACCACTAAAAATTGTGGCTGGGCAGTGAACCAGTTATGATCCAGATGAGCTCTGATTTCTACATTGCAATTCTGTGTGAAAGGTGTTTACTCATGTGATGAGTTAATATGCAAAGTAAAGCAACTGACTTTACAATTGTGAATGACATTGTGTTCCTTGTGAAAACAAAAGATTTTCAGCTTGAAAATTGTGCAAAATGCAGAGAATTGTGTGTAGTGTTCAGAAAAAAGTGTGTTTTAAACCTGCAATTTAGGTGTAAAGCAGGAATTGTGCTTGTAGTTTAGCAGAATTGGTTCAGGGCGTTGGTGCATCAGTTACATGTTGTAGAAATTGTGTCTGTACTACAAAAAATTGTGTGTAAACAACTAAGAAAAACTGTAATATAATTTAGTCATATCTTTGCACTCAAAAAATGTTGATTTCAACTTTGTCTGTTTGTTAGGTGGAAAAGGCTTCATGTTCACTGTGAACGATATTAAAAGCGGCGTCGTGCATTACCACCATGATGACAGCGACACTACTAAAGATTATATAGTCTTCCGGATCACCGACGGCTTACATCAAACTAGACACAAGTTTCCCATCAACATCCTGCCCAAAGATGACAGTCCGCCGTTCCTCATTACCAACATGCTGCTGGAGCTTTCTGAAGGCCAGACGGCTCTGCTGAGAGGATCCATCCTGCAGGCCTGCGACATGGACTCCAGTGACGACTACATCATGTTCAACGTCACTAGAGCTCCACAGGCTGGAGAAATCATGAAGATGCCAGGTCCTGGGATCACTGGTGAGGAAAAGGGTCGGATGTAAATATTAGTTTAGTACAATAGCAAATCAATAAATAAGACACCCACAGGACAAACTCAAATCATTATGCAATTTAGCGTGTGCCTCATATGGGTGAGTGGGCTTGATAAACCACCTGTAGAAAACACACTCTTTCATCTCTCTGACACTTTAGCCGACACTTGCACTAGATTAGCACATTTGACACTTCGTACTATCGGTCTATATGTCAAAAAACATTGTCCATTTATGAAATGTGCCTCACACAGGTGAGTGGGCTTGACAAACCACCTGTAGAAACACTAATTTCTCTCTATAAAAAAAATTGTTGCAGTTAATTCTCTGAGCACTAACAGTTTCTTTGTATAATCAGCACTTCTTGTGTGTATTGCCTTTTCTTGTTGAATCGCTAAATGCCACCTCAATTGTAAGTCGCTTTGGACAAAAGCACCTCCTAAATGACTAAATGTAATTGTAAATACTATTCATAAGCTATTAGTCTTATTAACCACCTAAATATAACAGTATAATATATACAATAAACAAATATATGTGCATTAGTATCTATGTTTCCTTATTTAACCAGATATAAAACCCATTGAGCTCAAGATCTTATTTACAAGGGTAACCTGGCTAAGAGCTCCAGAACACATGACTTATGAAAAAATAATAAATGATAAAAGAAAAAGAAAATAAAATGTAAAAATACAGTTATTCAGCTACACAATATTTTTTAAACACATAGATTGAGAAATGGACTGCTGTTGTTTGTTATAAAGTATAGAGTAAAATGATTTAATTTGGTTGAGCTCAGACATTTTTAGTTCAGACCGAAGAGTATACAGTAAAATTCTGTACTGTCCAAAATATTGGAGTACTGAACAAATTATATTATTAATGCAGTCATGGGGAAAACTAATACTGCAATCCGAGTAATAATAATAATAATAATCATAATAGTAATAATAATAATAGTAATAATAATAATAATAATAGTAATAATAATAATAATAATAATAACAACAACAATAAAAATAATAATAGTAATTATAATAGTAATAATAATAATAATAATAATAATAACAGTAATGATAATAATAATAGTAATAATAATAATAACAACAACAACAATAATAATAATAATAATAAAATAAAATATAATAATAACAATAATAATAAATAACAACAACAACAATAACAATAATATTAGAAATAATAGCATTTTATAATTGTGTAAAATAATAAAATTTTGCATTTGGAGTCCCCAAAATGACACTATTGTCAAATGTATAAAACATTTTCAGTATTTAGTTGAAAATTGGGTTGTGTAGTTGCACTTTTGGGGACACTTTAGCAATCACTATAAAAAAATTATTATAATAAAAAAATTACATTTAATTTAAAAAAATATATATATATGAACAAATTTAATGCCTAAGAAACTCATACTGTAATTCTTAAAGAGATTGTCATCCAGCTATTTTTCTAATGCTTGGGGTTGGTGCCGGCAGGGTGCGAACTGCACTGTAAAATATGTTAAGTGTTATACTGTATGTTAATGTAAGTTAAGATGAATAGAAAAGTCAATTTGTTAAACTAAAATATTAAGGCATCAACATTTTTTACAGTGTACAGAGGAGCTAGAGTTTATATATATATGTACGTATTGATTTATTTACAGTGACTCAGTGGTTATCACAGCAGGAAGGTCACTGGTTTGAGTCCCAGCTGGGCCAGTTGGCATTTCTGTGTGGAGTTTGCATATTCTCCCTGTGTTGGCGTGGTTTCCCCCACAGTTCAAACACTCCGGTTTCCCCCACAGTTCAAACACTTGCTATAGGTGAATTGGATGATCTAAATTGGCTGTAGTGTATGTGTGTGTGTGTAAACGAGTATGTATGGGTGTTTGCTTGTACTGGAAGGGCATCCATTACGTAAAACATATGCTGGAAATAGCTGTGGCGACCTCTGATAAAGCAGAGACTAAGCCGAAGGAAAATGAATGAATGAAATAGTGATAAACAATACTCAGATTATTTCCATTATTCTGCAGGATACCCTGTGAACCGTTTTCTTCAGAAAGACCTTTTCCATTCCATCATCTATTATCGGCACTCAGGCAGAGAGGTGTTTGACGACTCTTTTGAGGTGGTGCTGTCTGACTTTCATGACCCTCCTAACCTTTCAGAGCCTCAGGTAATGCATTAATATTCAGTGATCAATGCAGGATCTCCATCAGCGTATTTAATGGACCCTTTTCACAAGACTGTTATGACGCCTTTAGCGGTCATCAGCATAGTAAATCCTTTGAAGTTTTTAATAATAAAATTTTTTTTAAATATACAGTTGAAGTCAGAATTATTAGCCCCCTTTTAATTATTATTATTTTTTAATATTTCCCAAATTATTTTTAACACAGCAATGAAAATTTCACAGTATGTCTAATAATATTTTTTTGTTCAGGAGAAAGTCTTATTTGTTTTATTTCGGCTAGAATAAAAGCAGTTATTAATTTAAAAAAAAAAAAAAACATTTTTGGGACACAATTATTAGCCCCTTTAAGCTAATTTTTTTTCAATAATCTACAGAACAAACCATCGTTATACAATAACTTGACTAATTACCCTAACCTGCCTATTTGACCTAATTAACCTAGTTAAGCCTTTAAATGTCACTTTAAGTTGTATAGAAGTGTCTTGAAAAATATCTAATCAAATATTATTTACTGTCATCATGGAAAAGATAAAATAAATCAGTTATTAGAAATAAGATATTAAAACTATTATGCTTAGAAATGTGCTGAAACAATCTTCCCAGAACAGAAATTGGGGAAAAAAATAAACAGGGGCGCTAATAATTCAGGGGGGCTAATAATTCTGACTTCAACTGTATACAGTATGTATATTTATATGCATTTATGTATGTATTATATCATCTTTGCATAAAATTATCAAACCGAATGACCACTTTCATTCATTCATCCGCTTTTCCGGAGCCGGGTCGCGGGGGCAGCAGCCTTAGGAGAGAACCCCAGACTTTCTTCTGCCCAGACACTTACGCCAGGTCCTCCGCTCTAAGGGAGCCGCTCCTACTCACACTATGCCATCCATACCATGCCCAGGCCCGTTTCCTGGATCGTTTGAGAAGTGTAAGTGCGCTGAATCGGGCTCAAGCACGGTTCACTTGGCCGGCTCTGGCCCGGTTGGAAGAGGTGCACCTGAGCCCGGTACACTTGGGCTTTGGCGCGGTACGCTTGTGTGTGAGAGCAAAACGCACCAAAGCCCGAAACTGAAAGCGAGACGTGACTTTTAAGGGACTGTTTCATATGGATTTATTAATAATTCTTACTGTTCAATGAACGCAAACTGCCGTAGTTTATTAAAGACGCAAACTCCTCATTTCCCGACAGCTGCGCGCCTTCAGCAGACCTCCTCATTCCTGCAGCACGAGAGCTTTATGACTGTTTATGAGCGCCAAAACTGTTGGATCTGTTCAGCAAAATATTTGACTGCATGTCACCGCATCCCTAAGGACTGTTTGGCAAAATATTTGACTGCATGTCACTGCATATCAAACGACTGAAACGATATAACTAGAGAAATCTCCACTGTGCTGCTGAGTGATTGAGAGAGCGCTTCTCACTGAACAGCGCAGCAGCGATGACGTAAGCGTGCCGAGGCCTGGTTGTGGTGTGAGTGCGGGCCGTCGGGGGAGACGGGAGGGGGGACAAGTGTGCTTTAGCCCGGTTCGAGGCAACTGTATCTAGTGTGAGTACGGCCTAAGTTTACCCATCTATGCTGAATTCTGCTACTGAGAAACCCAGAAATGTGAAAAGGGTCCATAGTAGGGGTATTCTAGCAGTCAATCAGATGTAAACTAGACTTTTTAAACTTTCTTTAATAATTAGATTATTACTATGTATTTTTCAGGTCATTGTGATTCAGATCCAGCCAGTGCCTGATCAGCCTCCACAAGAAGCTCCGGGTGTATCGAGACACTTAGTCATCAATGAGACTGATGTTGTCTATTTGACCAAGCAACAACTGCACTTTGTAGATTTGGAGTCCCCAGATAGTGAGCTTACATACACCGTCACCACCCCACCTTTCTACACCACCACCTATGGGTATAAAATCAATCACTTTGCATGAAAACACACGTTTTCCCAACAGGACAATTTAAAAAGTCCCCTGCAGAATTTGACTTGACGTGTTTGACTTGATTGTTTTAATTTGCAGAGGGTCTGATGCAGGAAGGTTGTTTCTGGTCGACAGCATCCCCAAATTTAGCAAAGACTCAAGCGCACCGATGCTGAGGCTTTTCACTCAGGTAAACACTCTGAGTTTGGGTTTAAATGTGCAGTTTGGACACCTAGTGGTTGAACTAGGTAATGCAGTCCAAATTCAAAAACTATTGGAGAGGGTACCACTCAATGCACAAGAAGGTTGCCAGATTGACAACCCACACAGTAGCGAGCTGCTCAGCTAATGTTTACATTTGTGATAATTATATTAGTTGCTAATTTAAAACCAGCTCATGTGGATTTCCATAACTTTCATTATCTGCGTCTCATTTCGGAGGCAGCTACTGAAAGTCACAAGGCTGAATACAATGAGGCAGCCTTCAAGACTGAAATGAAATATGTTTTGTTTTCCACCATAAATATAATTGAATATAACTGTAGCATTGTTTTTCAGATAAACAATTATGTTCACATGGCATGTTTCTGAAGTATCTGCAAACATAGCATTGTAACGTTATGCTTTAGAACAGGGGTCACCAATCTCGGTCCTGGAGGGCCGGTGTCCCTGCAGGTTTTAGCTCCAACTTGCCTCAACAGACCTGCCTGGGTGTTTCAAGTATACCTTGTAAAACCTTAATTAGCTTGTTCAGGTGTTTTTGATTAGGGTTGGAGCTAAAATCTGCAGGACACCGGCCCTCCAGGAACAAGTTTGGTGACCCCTGCTTTAGAAGAATCAAAACGTTCACCAGAAGCAACTGACGCTGTACACTATCCTCTTGGATGTGTCTGTAGCACGCAGTCAACTACATGAAAGTAGCTTACATGCCCCCCATCCCGGACATCGGACCGTACCCTCAGCACATCCAGTTTGTCCTGTCAGTGACCAACCAGCAAGGCAGCACGACCACCGGGATCTGCTTTAACGTAACTGTTCTGCCAGTGGATAACCAGGCACCAGAGGTACAAGAACCCTTAATTACAAGAGTTAAAAAGTACTCACCCACACTTTGGTCCAATTCCCTGAGACCTTTGTTCATCCTCAAAACACAAGTTAAGATATTTTAGATGAAATTCGAGAGCTCTCTTATCCTCCATATAGACAGAAATGCTCCGGAGATGCTTAAAGTCCTAAAAAGGAACCAAAACATTCAGTGTGACTTCAGCGGTTGAACAATAATTATATGAAGCTCCAAGAACACTTTTGTGCACCCTCCAAAAGAAAAAAACTATAAATAAACTTTGTTCGTCAGTCACATTTTTTTTTTCGTCAAGTGGTCAATGTGTTTAATGCGGGCTGCATGACATTCCTATTAGGGCCTACTCACACTATCCCATCCGTACCGTGCCCAGGCCCGTTTCCCGGATCGTTTGAGTGCGCTGAATCGGGCTCAAGCACAGTTCACTTGGCCGGCCCTGGCTCGGTTGGAAGAGGTGCGCCTGAGCGCGGTTCACTTGGGCTTTAGCGCGGTACGCTTGTGTGTGAGTGCAAAACGCGCCTAAACCCGAAACTGAAAGCGAGACGTGACTTTTAAGGGACTGTTTCATATGGATTTATTAATCATTCTTACTGTTCAGTGAACGCAAACTGCCGTAGTTTATTAAAGACGCAAACTCCTCACTTCACAACAGCTGCGCGCCTTCAGCAGACCTCCTCATTCCTGCAGCACGAGAGCTTTATGATTGTGTTTGAGCGCCAAAAGTGGCGGATCTGTTCGGCAAAATATCTGACAGCGTGTCCCCGCATCCCTAAGGACTGTTTGACGAAATATTTGATGGCATATCAAACGACTGAAACGATATAACTAGAGAAATCACCACTGTGCTGCTGAGTGAGAGAGCGCTTCTCACTGAACAGTGCAGCATCGATGACGTAAGCGTGCCAAAGCCCGTTTGTGGTGTGAATGCGGGCCGTCAGGGGAGACGGGAGGGGGGACAAGCGTGCTTTGGCCCGGTTCGAGGCAACTGTACCTAGTGTGAGTACGGCCTCAGTGTGACTTCAGCGGTTAAACAATCATTATATGAAGCTCCAAAAACACTTTTGTGCACCCTTCAAAAAAAAAAACTACAAATAAACATTGTTCGTCAGTCACATTTTTTTTTTCGTCAAGTGGTCAATGTGTTTAATGCGGGCTGCATGACATTCCTATTAGAGTCAGCAGTGTGATACAAACATCATGGGCTCCAGGCACGTGCACACATAGGGCTCAACCTGTGCAGTGCACATGCCCTTTTTAGTCTTGGATAGAAAGTGCCCTTCCAAAATGATCAAAAGTGCCCCCGCGACGCGACACACCCTCCGTCCCGCCCTTCAGTAGGCGCACGACAACACTGATCTTGAGTACGCACGCTCAACCCCCCTCCCCCGCTTTACAGTACGCGCGCGACAACACAGCTGATCAGAACGCGCGCGACAACACCACTCTTCAGTACGCGCGCGACAACAACAAACCCTGTTTGTTTTTTATTTACCTTTCAGGAGTAGTGATAATGGCAAATTGCAGATCTGTTTTTTTGCTAGTAAAGAATGCAGTTTATTTAATCACAAAATCTGCCATGTAAATAGTGAATGCGCCATTGCGCGACTACAACTACTCTCAAAGGGAATGGGAGATGAGTCTCTGATTGGTTGAATGCACCCAAAACACATCAGTAGCCCCTTTCACACAGTGATACCGGTAAATATCTGGAAAATTTCCGGAACAACTTTACCGGTATATTCAAAAAAGCGCTGTTCACACAGGCGAGGACGTTACGGAAATTTTCCGGAAAAGAGCATTCACACATCCATTCCAAAATACCGGTAAATTCTGACATCATTCACCACAAATGAGCTTTAAACGGCTGCGCTTGTATTTGTAAACATTTGACTAAATTACAAACTCTGTGGATGATCAATATTGTGAACAACTTTCGCAGGATCACTTTCGCATGTCGAGATGTTCATAATATGTGCGTGTGCAGGCGCTCACAGGCTGTTTCACAGGCACACGCAAAGCTTGAAGGTAAACAAACAACGGCTTATCATACGCATCTCATCGATGATTATTTACACAGTTGGCATTAAGATGAACATATAAACGTGATCTGACTAACTTCTAGCAGCTAAATGTGTCTGGAAAAATATTCAAAGGCTTTTATTCTCACAAACCGCGCGGACGTAAATGCGTCTGACTGTTGTGATTGGCTAAAACAGACGTCTCACGTCAGCACGTTCTAGACGTGCACGCGCTTATTACGGCAATCTTCCTTCTGCATTCACACAGCGCAGCATTCCGGCAAATTACCGGTAATGTTACAACTTCTCTTTCCGGAAAATAGCCAGAACGAATTTACCGATATTTTCAAAAAGGACCTGTTCACACATACAACCTTTCCAGAAAATTGTATGTGTGAAAGGGGCTAGTAACTCATTAAGAGAATAAGGAAACCCCATTTGAACATGCGCTGGTTGTGCAAACCGTTTTCCCAATCTTTAAAATAGCAAAAGTGGATTCAGACATGTCCTCTGCACAAGTGTCCCCTGCACTTTAGAGCAAGTGCTTAGATTGTTTAAATAGAGCCCTATAATGTCTGTAGTGAATGCGCAAATGACACTAATGAAGAAAGTCATACAGTTTTTGGCACCCAAAATCGTTCTTGGAGTTTCGTATGAGTACAATTCAACCAGTGGCGTAGCGCAAAATGCGGAGGCCCCCCTGCAGGGATCTCTGACGGGGCTCCCTGATGAAGGGGGGGGGAATACGTCATACGTCAATTTGCATATCACTGACGTCATCACGTTCTACTGTTTCTTTTTAACAGCCTATGGTTAATTTAAGGGGTATTTATAATTGCACTACACTTTCTACAAGCATGTTTATTTAACTAAATTTATTGCTGTTTGAATACAGTATATCATTATAGATGTGTAACGTTAGTGAATGTGCAGTAATCTCTCACATGTAATAAACTCAGACAAGTTCAGAAACTGTCAATAAAATATCTGTGATTGTGAACAAGAAAAGAATAAACAATCCAAATAAATTGTTAAAATAAAGTAGAAGTAGATCGGTTTGACTGTACAAGGGAAATACCTTAACACTGCCTGTGCTAAATCATTTGTCGTCGGTGCGCAGAGGGGTGATCTGCTCTCGGGCTGCAGGTGGGAGAGGCTGCTGTACGAGGACTGACTGGGCCGCCTGTCAGTTCTGTGAGGCGGGGGAGGGGCCGGCGGCATCACACGCAGCTCGTTGAGAAGAGTAGGGACGGTACAGTATGGACAAATGACAGTCTACAAAAATCTCCAATAACACACAAAAAAGTCGCTAGATTTGTCGCTAGGGGTGTCTGAAAAGTCGCTAAGTTGGCAACATTGGCGGCAAGCAATCAGAATGAAGTAGTCCACCGCTTAAGAGGTGTTCAGAGAACACAGACGTGTGAACTTTGGTTCCGACCACAGTTGTTCCCAACAGTTTATTGAAAATCGCGACGACGCGGGGCCCCCTAATCATGCGGGGCCCCCCCGCGGTGCGTGCCCTGCGGGCCCGTCCGCTACGCCACTGAATTCAACCACTGAGGTTACATGGAGCGCTTTGGTTTCTTTTCTTTGAACATCTCCGAACCATTGCTGTTTATGGAAGATGAGAGAGCTCCAGGATTTCATCTAAAATGTCTTTTAATAGTATAAATTTCCTTTTTTGGGTGAACTAACACTGTAAAACGGTAATCGAAGTAATATTTTTACTCTGTAGTAATACTTTACTTACATATAGATGTGTCTGCGGTGGTGTTCAGGTGCAAGTGAAGCTGCTGGTAGTGGATGAAGGAGGTGAGATCTGGGTGACTGAAGACCACATGCATCTCTCTGACCGGGACTCACTGCAGGACTCAATACACGTGGAGCTGAAGACTGCACCTCAACATGGCAGTGTTTATCTGGACGGCAAACTCATGGTTCCAGGCCAGACTTTCACTGTGAGGGATCTGAAAAGCCTAAAAGTGAGGTCAGATGTGGTTCCTTATCGTTTGATTGTGTTTTTCATTAACACTTAGTTCACCTAAAAATACATTGGATGGGTTAAAGCTACTGATTTAATATTTCTGAAATCAACATTTCTACATTTCCTTATGTAAATATTCATTCATTCATTCATTCATTTTCTTTTCGGCTTAGTCCCTTTAATATTCTTGGGTCGCCACAGCAGAATGAACCGCCAACTTATCCAGCATATGTTTTACGCAGCGGATGCCCTTCCAGCTGCAACCCATCTCTGGAAAACACCCATACACACTTATTTACACACATACACTGCAGACAATTTAGCTTACTCAATTCACCTGTACCACATGTGTTTGGACTGTGGGGAAAACCGGAGAACCTGGAGGAAACCCATGCGAACGCAGGGAGAACATGCAAACTCCACACAGAAACGCCAACTGACCCAGCTGAGGCTTGAACCAGCGACCTTCTTGCTGTGAGGCTATAGCAATACCAACTGCGCCTAATGTAAATATATTACATGAAAATTTTTTGATTAGTAATGTGCATTGCTAAGAGGTAAATATGATTTCAATATACTATAAACCAGACACCAATGGAAAGCTCATTATATATCTGTTATTTTTAAATTAAAATTATATATAAATCTCAATATAAAAAAAAATAGACACTTATGACTGGTTTTGTGGTCTCGGGTCAGGTTTGTTTGCAACAAAGAGGGAATATATGTGTTGTATTCTTCATCAAAATAATTGTTTATCTTAGATGTTATAACCTATATGAAAAACTTAATGTAATGTAAAACTTAATAATGTAATCATACATACTCGCACGTAAGATCGCATCTAAATTGTATTTTGCCTATATAGGTTTTTTGTTTTTACTCTAAATGTCCTGGTACCAAATGACTTGTATATTATGAATCACCAAAGACCACATATTGCTGAGGACATGAGGGTAAATAAATAAACAGCAATTATATTATATTATATTATATTATATTATATTATATTATATTATATTATATTATATTATATTATATTATATTATATTATATTATTTAATTTTATTTTTAATTTTATTTTAATTTTAATTTTAATTTAATTTAATTTAATTTAATTTAATTTAATTTAATTTAATTTAATTTTTTATATTTAATTTAAGTTTGTTTTATTTTATTTTATATTTTATTCTGTTCTCTTTTATTTGTTTTTTAATTTAAATTAATTTTGTTTAATTAATTTTTTTTTTTTAATTGAATTTTGTTCTATTTTATTTTATTTTATTTTTAATTTATTTAGTTTATTTTTTTAAATGTAATTTAAATTAATTTAATTTAAGTTAATTTTTAATTACATTTTTTATTTCATTTAATTCTCAATTTAAATATGTATTTATTATTTTCCATTATTATTGTTATTATAATTAATATTTTCACTGACTTTTTAAGCAGAATTAAACTTGCTTTGTGATCTATTTTTACTCAACGCTACCTTTATCTTTTGACTATTTTGTCTCGACAGATATCGTCACGACAGTTCTGAGACAGAACGTGATGAAATTAAATTCATTGCTACGGATGGCACAAATACAGCAGATTTCATATTGCGCATCAAGGTAAAGGAGATACATCTTACAATGACTGCATATAAATCTAAATAACATCCTTTACACTAAACACATGCATGTCTGTTAGGTGACGCTGGTCAACGACGAGGTGCCAGTTTTAGTGGCAGGACTGAAACCCATGTTGTGGTGTGCAGAGGGTCAAGAAGTGTTTATTACCATCGAGTACATCTGTGCCACAGATCCAGACAGCGATGATCGATCTCTCATGTATATGATCGCTCGACAGCCGTATCATGGAGTCGTTCAGAGAAACGGCATCATTGTAGACCGCTTCATTCAAGCAGATCTAAACGCTGGTTTCATTTCATACAGACACACAGGTTAGAATGGTCGCACTTTAATTTAATGAACAATTCATGCTACACTGTAAAAATACTGGGTTCCACACACACACACACACATATATATATATATATATATATATATATATATATATATATGTATGTGTGTGTGTGTGTGTGTGTGTGTGTGTGTGTGTGTGTGTGTGTGTGTGTGTGTTTGTTTAAATGTAAAAACTAAAAAGTTAACTTTCCTTCCTTCATGTTTTCCCAACAAAAATCAGTGTGGAAACTTACATTTTATATATATATATATATATATATATATATATATATATATATACAGTGCATTCGGAAAGCTCTTCATGTTTTCCACATTGTTTTTATGTTACAGCCTCTGAATGTTGTTTCCTCAACATTCTACACACAATCCCCTATAATGACAATTTGAAAAATAGTTTTTTAAATTCTTAAAAATTCATTACAAATAAAAAAGCTGAAAAATCACATGTACATCAGTATTCACAGTTCAATACTGTGACCCAAAACACACCGCCAAAATATCAATGGAGTGGCTTCGCAACAACTCGGTGTATGTCCTTGAGTGGCCCAGCCAGAGCCCAGACCTAAATCCTATTGATCATCTCTGGAGAGATCTGAAAATGGCTGTACACCGTCACTTCCCATCCAACCTGATAGAGCTTGAGAGGTTCTGCAAAGAGGAATGGGCAAAAATTCCCAAAGACAGCTGTGCCAAGCTTGCAGCATCATATTCAGAAAGACTTGAGGCTGTTATTGCTGCTGGAGATGCATCAACAAAGTATTGAGCAAAGGCTGTGAATACTGATGTACATGTGATTTTTCAGCTTTTTTATTTTTAATAAATTTTCAACAATTTAAAAAACTTTTTTTTCACATTGTCATTGTGGGGGTTTTTGTGTAGAATTTTGAGGAAATAGATGAATTTAATAAGGCTGTAACAAAACAATGTGAAAAAAGTGTAGCGCTATATATATATATATATATATATATATATATATAAAAACAATTATTTTTCCACAAGGGTATATGTCAAGGGTATATGTCAACCACAATAACAATGTTATGTCGCTTATACACTCAAGGGCAAGAGATTGGGCTTCGTCCACGTCATGACGTCGTCACCTTTGTGATCTCTGATGGAGAAACGGAGCCAATTTCTCCATGCTGCAGTGAAAGAGACACATTATTCAACCCACAAAACTCTCTGCCTGTTTATGACCTTAATATCACCGTCTATCCTGTCAACAACCAGCCACCATCGATTGCTACAGGTAATGATTTTACCAAAACAATTATTTAGATATTTATAAGTTCTAATAATATGTTTGCATGTATGTTTATTTATTGGATTTTCTAATTGTTTTTAAGGTAAGTGGTTGCAAACAATTAATATGAGTGTGTGTGTGTGTGTGTGTGTGTGTGTGTGTGTGTGTGTGTGTGTGTGTGTGTGTGTGTGTGTGTGTGTGTGTGTGTGTGTGTGTGTGTGTGTGTGTGTGTGTGTGTGTGTGTGAGTAAGAGAGTGACCTTTACATGCTTTCCTTAATATGTCTGAGTAAATCAAAATAAGCAGCTCAGCTCTCATAAGTCACAATAGTAAGTGTGTATTCATGCACACACTATAATCTGCTGTTTTACTCCACAGAACTCCATATAAAAGCCAGTAACCTGTTTGCATAGACCTATCTAAAGGGTTAATGCTGCCAACCGATGATCAACAGTAAAAATGAGCAATTCAACCTCTTTTCAACTGGGAAAAACACCAACAATCAAAAATGCATGATAATTTGGTGCCATGGCTTTGCAATAAAAAAATGTGGTTATAATGGAAGTCAATGGGGCAAAAACAGGCACCAACATAATGAAAGGGTAGTCAATTTGAACATTACACAAGGGTTAAATAGGCTATAAAGCATAATTACTGTAAACACACTTCTGTTTTCTTTTTTAGTCCTATTTTTTTGTCCTCTTTGGATTCATAACCGTAGTTTTCTTCACCAGGTGAGGTGTTTATGGTGGATGAGGGTGGATCAGCCTCCATCACTGTGACCCATCTGACTGTTGTAGACCAGGACTCTGCGCCTGAGGATCTCCAGCTCATCCTGGTTTCTCCTCCACACTTTGGCTACATTGAAAACATCCTGCCCAGTCCAGGATTTGAAAAGAGCAACGTGGGAATCAGTATTGGTCAGTCGGTTTTGTTACCCTGCTAAAATCAACCCAGACTCATTGCTGATATGCCCCCAGATTTACATTTCTGGGGACAGCGAAATGCGAAACTGGACGTACATCTCTCACATGTCCTCTTCTTTCGTAAATTCACCAGAGGGCGCAATATAACCTTCAGCTGACCAGGCTAGCTTGTTGTCGACTGACTGACTGACTGACCCACCCCGTCCCTAAACCCAACCGATAGTGTTTTTAAATACACTCTAGTAAAAGTAAAGCCGTCACCTTGTGATTTCGCCATGTTTTCAGCCTGTTGTTTATTTATTTATTTATTTGTTCTTTGTTTTACCTGATTTCCGGAACCATTCTCTGCCATACTCAAACCCCGTTGTCGCGGTCAACTCCATTTCAGAATGCTGTATAATATATGTATACAGTTTTGTATATTGATATTGATGTATATTGAATCCTGATATCCTAATGATGCTGTTCCTCGTTCAGCCTCGTTCACCTACAGGGATGTGTTGGATGGACACATTAACTATGTCCAGTCCAGACACCAGAGGATGGAGCCCACCACTGACCAGCTCATGCTGCAGGTGTCTGATGGGAAACAGCAGTCATCTCCAGTCCCGCTTTACATCATCATCAGTCCAACTAATGACGAGATTCCAGACTTCCAGACTCAAAACATCACGGTGGGTCACAGGGACATTCGGTAACTCTCAGCTAACTGAGAATATTATTGCCTAAAGAGATGTGGTGGTGCAAAAAATAACCGGGTGGGCAAAAAAAAAAGAGTGGGATGAAAAATATTTTTTGTACGTTTTTGCATTCTTAAGTGTTTGCATTCCCCTGAGAAACGTTGCTTTCGCTTACCCTTTAAAGGTCCAGTCAAATTAAAATAACATTTTTTAGATGTTAGAATCAGTATGTTAGTCTGTGTAAAACAATGACAAAATATGCGTTTAGAAAATATAACACTGATATTAACATGTAGAGCTTGTGGTTTGTCACTTCCGCCTAAATGGATCAATGTTTTTTTTTTCACGTCACCTCATAATTCAGTTTCTCATCAAATCTTGAGCAATCAAATGCTCTCTAGTATCTGACATGCCCCGCCCCCTTCAAGATTCTTCTTATTTGCTTTTCAGTTGATGCGCTTGAGCTCAACCCCTCTCACTGGCAAACCTGTGATAAAACAAAACACTACTGGCCAGGGGAGAAGCTACTCTATGTCCCGCCCAACACAATCTCACGGCAATTCGTAACTTTTTGATTTAGTGGCTAATTCGTATGAATTCGTACGATGTAATTCATACAATTTAGTACGATTTGCTCACCACCCAATGACGGTTGGGGCTAGGGGTGGGGTTAGGTGCCACGCCTCCTTTTTAAAATCGTACATTTTCTTATGATTGAACTTGCACGAATTTCTACGAATAAGCCACTAAACTGACAAAACGTAAACGTTTCCTTGTGAGATCAGGCTGTCCCGCCCTCTCTTCGTTTTTTAGTTGAGATTACGTCAATCATCGAATAAAAAATTGCACATTTCAAAGCACTACAGGGGACCTTTAATAATATTCTCAAAATGTTATGCATTATAAATGCAATGTTTTCAGCATGTTTTCAACATTATGTTTCCAGATTATCTGCAGAACTGTGTAATGTAATGTGCTTAAGTTTTTGACGAATAAGGTTTTGAAGAAATACCTCCCCCCATCCCCCCCACCTCAAAAAAAAAATTTGTGTTGTTTTTTTGATCTGTTATAAAATGTTATTTCTAATGTAATTAATGTATCCAATGTGAATTAGCTAAATTTTGTTGGTACCCTTCCACTGAAGAAAGAAAAAAACTACCATGGTCACTGCAATGGTCACTGAAAAAACAAATGCAAGCATAAATAAAAAATGATAGACAATAAACTAACGTAGAGTTGCTGAGGTTTTCCCTGCGCATTTGCGGTTTTTAAGAAACTTCTTTGGTACGTCAATCTTGACAATGCTATTATTCAAAAAGGCAATGATTCGCACTCATCAAGAAATTGCTTTGTATTGTTTTTTTTTTTTTCGTCTTACATTCTTCGGGTGATTTACAGACGCAAACGTTTTGGCACAATGCCTTCCTCGGTGTGTCAGGAAGGCATTGTGCACACGGAGGAAGGCAATGTGCTGAAACGTTTGTGTCTTCAAATCACCCGAAGAATGTAAGAAGAAAAAATAAAAGCAATACGAAGCAATTACTTGATCAGTGCGAATCATTATCTTATTGAATAAAGACAATAAACTAACAAAATTTTCTTTCGAATTGTGGTTTAGCAAAAGCATTAAATAAAGGGAACAATAAATGAAACTGGCTTTGACAAAATCGAAGAGTACCAACACATTTTTCCACATAAGAAATTGAATAAAGTGTTGTGTTTATAGCCTAGAGTTGGCTATCTGTATGCAGAAACATTGCAGTAGTTACTGTAAATGTGATCACAGGTTTTTGTCTTTAGGTTTTTGAAGGAGACAGGACAGAGTTAAACTCGTCTGTAATCAGTGCGGTGGATTTGGATGTTCCCCAAGAGCGTCTGATGTTCAGCATCGTCCAGAATCCTCAGCACGGCTCTATCATCAGTCTGCCACACAGAAATCAAGTCTCACATTACAAGCGTGGAGCTGAGGAGCCTGTCCAGCATTTTTGCATGGATGACCTCAAGAGCGGCAAGTCTCAAATTTAAACATAAATATAAGCTTGCCAACTTTTTTTTTTTGACTCGTACGTTATTAAATTTATAGTAAATACTGTAATGAAGTACTTGAGTAGTTAATGTGTTGTTGTAATTCTATAGTTACTGTAATATACTTAAGTTTATAATGTGTCTCTGTCCACAGGCATGACTCTGATGTATGTACACGATGACTCTGAGAGTGAGCAGGATGAATTCATCCTTCAGCTCTCTGATGGAAAACACAAGCTCCAGAAACACGTGCAGGTGAAAATACTGCCTGTCAACGACGAGGAGCCGCAAATCATCCGGTAACTGCAGATGAATATCAGTAAAATAAATCATGCTGTGTTTTTATCCGTGCCATATAAATACCATAACCTTCTCTCTCCCTCAAAACGACTTTTCTTCACTTCCTGGTCATATGGATTGCCTTTAGGGTGGGGCTATCAGTGCTTTAGGGCAAGGCTATCAGTTAGTGTCTTGTTTCTGCTTTGAATTGATCCAAGATTTACGTCACCATATAGCAGAAAAAAGGACAATCTTAACTTCCATTTCATCACAACTTTAAAGACCTTAAGATTTTTTGTTTAATTGTTTGTCATAAAGGTCATACATGTCAACCCAAGCTCATTCTGAAAACGTAGTCTCGTTGATGTTTCTGGAGACCGCAAAATACATCCCAGGAGTTACGTATTTTTGCAGTTTTTACGAATCCGCGAGGGACCGCTGTGTGCGCATTTTCATATCTCAAATTTCTCTCGTTAGTGCCGTTCATGCCCGCTGTTCTTGCGTAAACCCACCAGAGGCCGCTATCAAACGACCGTCTATCTGTCTGACTTTCTGAGGCCCCGTTTACACTAATATGTTTTAGTTTGAAAGCGCATAAGTTTTGCTACGGTTACGCCATTCGTCCACACTACGCCGGAGTTTTCGAGCGCCGAAAACAGAGCGTTTTGGAAACGCTGGAGAGGCCGTTTTCATTCTGAAACGCTGCTGCTCCGTCTCAGTGTGGATGAAGGAAAACGGAGACATCAGAAAACGGAGGCGGGGCTGCTGAGATTCGCTAGCTGATTGGGGCTTTTGTGTCATTGCGTATCCTTCCCTTATTCGTCAAGCCCCTATCACATGACTATAACACATGGCTCAACGCTACCGGAAGACAGCAGACCAGCCTTCACTGTAAACAACAACATGGACACAGAAATGGGAGCGTTGTTTGCACTATTGTCTGTTTTAGGTGCCATTGTGCAGTTATTCATTTGTTACGTTTAGTAACAACTCGTCATCTGTCCACGGAAATACCTCTCTTGCTTTCTTTGCCATCGCATTCATTGTTCAACCGGCGTTTGTTGACTAACAATAACCAGCTGCCGAGCGAGACGCATGCTTTCTGTTTATACTTGAACGCGCATGCCCAGAGTACGGGAATGGTCACGTGATATACGTTTTTGTTGGCGCAGTGTGGACGGAGATATGTTCAGAAACGCTAGGTGAAACACTAGTGTGGACGCGGATCGTTTTTGATCTAATACGCCGTTTTAAAACTAAAACGCACTCGTGTAAACGGTGCCTGAATGACTGACTTGCCGGCCGACCAATCCAATCGACTGAAATACCTTCCTCCTTTCCTAAACCCGACCAATTTTATCGATTGATCTGCCCATTCACTTACTTCCCTTAACCCAACCGACAGTTTACAAAAGCCGTCCAGAAAAAGAAAAGCCCTCGTCTGATTTTCAGCACGTTTTCGAATTTTACCACATTTTCACCCTGTTGTTTACTTGTTCGTTTTATTTTTTGGATTCTGTTTTTGTCTTACCTGCCTTCTGGAACCGCTCTTCCCCAGACTCAAACCCCATCATCTTCGTCATGGTCAACTTATCGTCGTCTCAAGTCCACCGACATACACGACGAGTTAAAGGCACAAACTGGTCCTTCACACGGAAGTAATCGGTCAGCTGGTAAGCGCGAAAAGGAACGGCGTCATACCGCTCTGTAGCGTTCATTTCAAAAAGTGAAATGCAGCCAGCCATACGTACCTCTGGCTACATAATTCACGGTCTCAAGAAATGTCCACAGGAGTACGTTTTCAGAGTGAGCCTGTGTTGGTACATGTATATCCTTTTATACAGTATAACTTGACATTTCATGCATGCATATACATGCCTGATTTTACTCTGCAATGGTTAAAATTGACCAAAAACATGTTGATTGGGGCTTCGCAAGGCAAAACTCTGTTTATTGGTTGAGTAGAGAACGGTTTAAACCGATCTAGCATGGATGAGGGACCATGATGATCAACAACTATGGCTGATTTGTCCAGAGACACAAACCTCTTGTTTTTAGCCACAGGTGGCTGTCTTTTGGTCTTTTAAAGGGACCTATTATTCCCCTTTTTACATGATGTAAAATTAGTCTCTGATGTCCCTAAAGTGTGTATGTGAAGTTTTAGCTTAAAATACACCCTATTTAACTTAATTGTTACTCAACTCTTTGAAATTGCCCCTTTTAGACTTTGATCCGAATTGTGTTGTTTTGGTGACTGTCCCTTTAAATTTAAATGATGTTGTGTCCCTTTTAAAAAAGAGGGTGTGGCTTCAAACATCTGTACATCAGAAGAGTGGCAGATTCAAAACAGGACTAAAATCCTATGTAAATGAGGGAGAGATGGTCAGTAATGGGCTGGGCATTTCCCCTCTGATGACGCGTACGAGGGAGAATGTCAATCAAAGTGTTTCTGCAGTGTGATTAGTAATAAGAATTAATTAATTTTCACACATGGTTGCAACACAACTGTGCATAAACCCCTTATTATGGTGATTTTTGCACAATAGCTCCCCTTTTAGGGTTAAATCTTAAAGACCAGAAGAGATCTGCTTTGTTTCCTCAGGAACACTGGGATTGAGATGGAGGCTGGAGAGTCCAGGCTGATCTCCAGTGCTGTTCTCAGCGCTCATGATGAAGATACTCCTCCTGACCACATCCTCTATGTGTTCGAGAGCTTACCGACTCATGGCGCCATTCAGATGAAGGTCAGTTTGCTCAATTTGAGTTAAAGCGCCCTTATTATGGGTTTTTGAAAATGACCTTACATGCAGTGTGTAACACAGCTCTAAGTCAGTGAAAACATCCAGCTAAGGTTTAAATCTGAAAGTGCACTATGCTTAAAACTATTGATTCTTAAATGGAAGAGTCGACTCAGAGTCAAATAAATGAATTGTCTTGTGTTTGGATCTTTTGCCTGCATGCATTAAAGTTGGTATGAGACATTGCCAAATATGAACTGCCGGATCCGGTAAAACAATAATACCAGGGTAAAGTTCATTTTCACAACAACATCACAGTATAATTAATCATGTGCAGTGTTTGTTCCTGTTTCCACCATCTTTTAAAAAGAACCCAATCTCATGAAGTTTATTTATAAACTAATTTCGAGAGGATCACGTGTTTATGATTGACACGGCTGGCCCTGAGTCAAACTAATGTACGAACCACCAATCAGACGATTCCTAACTCAGTATGAATAACCAAGCATTTTACCTTGTCATCTGTCTTGAAGAATCCCCCCTTCCACCCACTCTTATCCTCTTTTCCTCTATAGGGCAGCTCGGCGGCCCAGTGGTTAGCACTGTGGCCTCACAGCAAGAATGCCTCTGGTTCAGGTCTCTACCCGGTCAGTCTGCATTTCTGTGTGGAGTTCATGTCTCCCTGTGCTCGCATGGGTTTTCCCCGGGTACTCCGGATTCCTCCCACAGTCCAAAACATGAGACATAAGTAAATTGATTAAATCAAATCAGCACCATAGTCAAATTCCACCAACAACACACCCTCATAGCAATCCTTAAGCAACAGGGGGGGGGGGTTCTCGAGATCTACCTGAGCTCAAACTCCCCTCTCGCCCTGCATTGGAAGGGAGCCCCGGGCTCTAGGATCTAGGGCTCACTCCCGGGACAGCATGCCAAACCAGCTTTATTACCAATCATCAGCTAAGTGTGAACTCTTGAAATGTGAATTTAAAGCGACAGTCCCCAAAACAGGCCCAATTTGAATCAAAGCCTAAAAGGATCAGTTTCAAAGAGCTATAAAAAATTATTTAAGGAATATTTTGAGCTGAAAATTCACATGCACATTCTAGGGACATCAGAGACCTATTTTACATCATGTAAATAGTGGCATAATAGGCCTCCTTTTAATTTACAATATGTATCATGAGTAATAAAGTGTTGAGCAAACCCAGATGAACCACTGATGTACTCTGTATGGTTTGCTGTTCGTCAGGTGGGCTCAGACTGGCTGTCTGTGTCTGCAGGAGTGAACTGCTCTCAGAAGGTGCTGGATATGAATCTGTTGCGTTACCTTCACACCGCTCATCCCGGAGAACCCACTGCCGATTTCTTTGTCTTCCACCTGTTTGATGGGAAGAACCGCTCTCCTCCTCAGCACTTCCACATTACAGTCAAACAGCTAGAAAAAGGTGTGCTTTCATGTCCTACGTAAATGTGTTCCTGGAAAGCAAAGTGTGTATTATGTTCAGTGTTGGGTGTGATTAGTTACAAAGTAACTAGTTAGTGCAATTAGATTACTTTTCCGAAAAAAAAAAGGAAAGGGATTACTTTTCATTTTCAGGTAATTTAATTACAGTTCTTATAGTGTACTTGTATAAATACTATAAAGATTTGGAATGCATTTACTGACGGTCAGTAGGATTCAAAGTTTTTGGATGAGCCTGTGTTAGTCAGCAGTTGTTATCTGGGAATAACATACTTTGGAATGTAGCGACTGACTAATAGTAATAAATAAGGGATAAAGTACATCCAGGCAGTTGTTATGGCAGAATAAAGCTCAACTTTTATTCACTTTTAATAACTTCTATTGTCTGTGTGGGGTTGACATTTGTATCTGGTGCATTCATGAGTTGGATTTGAAGCGCTGATTCAAGTAATTAAATAACTTATTGAGTTACTAAGATACTTTTCAAACATAATTATTAAAAATGTAATTTAAATTGAATGACAATGTAAATATACTGCATAGATCTGAATGTATTCACTGACGATCAATCAGATTTAAAGTTTATGGATGAGCCTGTGTTATTCAGCGGTTGTTATCTGAAAATAATATACTGTACATTGGAATATAGCGACTGACCAATAGTATTAAATAAGGGATAAAGTACATCCAGGCAGTTGTTATCACAGAATAATTGGCCCTTAATGAACAGAGCTAAAATGTCCTGTTTGACTCAGATTGAAGTCATTGTCGAGTTTAATTTCTATTGTCTAGTTGAATTTAAAATGTTGGGTCCAGTAATTAAACAACTTATTGAGTTACTGAGTTACTTTTCAAACATAGTAATAAAAAAAACGTAATTTAAATTGAATGTAAATGTAGATATACAGTATAAATTTGAATGTAATCCCTGACGCTCAATCGGATTCAAAGTTTTTGGATGAGTTTGTGTTATTCAGCGGTTGTTATCTGGGAATAACATATATCTTAGAATGTAGCGAATGACCAATAGTATTAATTAAGGGATAAAGTACATCCAGGCGGTTGTTATTGCAGAATAATTGACCCTTAATAAACAAAGTTGAAATATCCTGTTTGGCTCAGATTGAAGTCATCGTCGAGTTTAATTTCTAATAATAATAATAATAATTCCTTACATTTATATAGCGCTTTTCTGGGCACTCAAAGCGCTTTACACAATGGTGGGGGATCTCCTCATCCACCACCAGTGTGCAGCATCCACCTGGATGACGCGACGGCAGCTATTTTGCGCCAGACCGCACACCACACACCAGCTGATTGGTGGAGAGGAGACAGTGATGAAGCCAATTGGAATATGGGGATGGTTAGGAGGCCATGATGGACAGAGGCCAGTGGGCAGATTTGGCCAGGATGCCGGGGTTAAACCCCTACTCTTTTCGAAGGACATCCTGGGATTTTTAATGACCACAGAGAGTCAGGACCTCGGTTTAACGTCTCATCCGAAAGACGGCGCTCACTGAGCAGTATAGCGTCCCCGTCACTATACTGGGGCATTAGGACCCACACAGACCGCAGGTTGGGCGCCCCCTGCTGGCCCCACTAACACCACTTCCGGCAGCAACCTAGCTTTCCCATGTGGTCTCCCATCCAGGTACTGACCGGGCGCAGCCCTGCTTAGCTTCAGTGGGTGACCATGTGAGAGTTGCAGAGAGCTAGCTGCCGACAATTTCTATTGTCTTCTAGTTGAATTTAAAGTGTTGTGTCCAGTAAACAAACAACTTATTGAGTTACTGAGATACCTTTTAAACCTAATAATTAAAAATGACATTTAAATTGAACGTGAATGTAAATATACTGTATAGATTTGAATGTATTGACTGACGATCAATCAGATTCAAAGTTTTCGGATGAGCCTGTGTTATTCAGCGGTTGATATCTGGAAATAACATACTGTACATTGGAATGTAGCGATTGACCAATAGTAATAAATAAGGGATAAAGTACATCCAGGCGGTCGTTATTGCAGAATAATTGGCCCTTAATGAACATAGCTAAAATGTCCTGTTTGGCTCAGATTTAAGTCGTTGTTGAATTTAACTTCTATTGTCTATGCATCGTTGACATTTGTATGTAATGCATTTATGAGATAAATTTGAAGTGTAGGTTCGAGTAATTAAATAGATTATTGAGTTACTTTTCGAACATAATAATTAAAAATCTCATTTAAATTGAATGTGAATGTAAATATACTGTATATATTTGAATATGTTCACTGACGCTCAATTGGCATCAAAGTTGTCAATGAGCCTATGTTATTCAGCGGTTGTTATCTGGAAATAGCATACTGTATATTTAAATGTAGCGACTGACCAATAGTAATAAATAAAGGATAAAATACACCCAGGCGGTTGTTATTACTGAATAATTGGCCCTTAATAACCAAAGCTAAAATGTCCTGTTTGGCTCAGATTTAAGACGTCGTTGAATATAACTTCTATTGTCTATGCATTGTTGACATTTGTATGTAATGCATTTATGAGATGAATTTGAAGTGTTGGGTCGAGTAATTAAATAAAGTATTAAGTTACTGAGTTACTTTTTAAACATAATAATTAAATATCATTTAAATTAAATGTGAATGTAAGTATACTATATAGATTTGAGTGCTTCTAAGTTTTCAATGATCCTGTGTTATTCAGCGGTTGTTATCTGGAAATAACATGTATTGGAACATAGAGACTAACCAATAGTATTAAACGAGGGATAAAGTACATCCAGGCGGGCGTATTGCAGAGTAATTGGCCCTTAATGAACAAAGCTAAAATGTCCTGTTTGGCTCAGATTTAAATTGTTGTCGAATTTAACTTCTATTGTCTATGCGGCGTAGAGATTTCTATGTAGTGCATTTATGAGATGTTGGGTCGAGTAATTAAATAACTTACTGAGTAACTGAGTTACCTTTTAAACATAGTAATTTAAAGTGTAATTTAAATACAATTTTAATGATGTAATTAGTAATTAACTTATTTTTTGAAGTAACTTACCCTACCTTAATTATCTTGCATTATTATGTTTGCAAGAATAGTCAAAACTGCATATATCAAAATATCAAATACTGATTCAAGCAAACCATACATCAGTGGAAAGCTTAGTTATTAAGCTGTATAGATGATTCGTTCATTTACCTTCAGTTTAGCCATTATTTCAAAAGTTGCCACAGTGCAATGAACCGCCAACTATTTCAGCACATATTTTATGCAGCGGAGGCCCTTCCAGCCACAGCCCAGTACTAGAAAACACTCATACAATCTCGCATTCACACTCACTAATGCACTATGACCAAACCGGTGCACCCAAAGGAAACTCATGCCAACACGGGGAGAACATGCGAACTACACACAGAAATCCCAACTGGCTCAGCCAGTAAATATGATCTATGACTGATTTTGTAGTCCAGGGTCTCATATGTGTTTTTCCTGCTGAAATACATGCTGTTTAGCTAAAGTCGTCCCTCTGTGCTGCTCTTTAGGAGATATAGCGCTGTTCCTGAAGCCTGTGCGGGTCAGTCGTGGAGATCGTGTGGTTTTTACTACAGACGTCCTGCTGTCTGTGGATGGTGCTGACCAGCCGGAGGAGCTGCTATATGTGATCACTGCACCTCCAGCTCATGGACACGTGGAGCTTATCAAACACAGCGGAGTGCAGATTCAGTCCTTCAGTCAGCTGGACATCGCAGCAAACCTGGTGTGTTACGTCCATGATAACAGAGCCACGGCACCCAGAGAGAGCCTGCAGTAAGAGTCTTGAGCATACACTGATAGTCTGCATTCATTTCAACTCCTTTTTCTTGAATAAATTAGAATCGGAAATTAGAATAGCATTACATTTATGCACATTTGCACACACCCTGGCATATATTGTGTAGTTCTAGTAAACTTCATACAAGTGAGTGGGTTTGACAAACCAACCTGTAGGACATACTCCTTGCTCAATATCCATCAATCTGCATCATCCCTATAGGTTCATGGTCAGCAATGGGATATCAACTCGCAACGGGACCCTGGAGATCTTAGTGGACCTGACGGATAAAGTTCTCCCCACACTAGTGCACAACAGCGGCCTGCGGGTTCCTCAGGGCTCCACGGTTGTTTTATCCACTGCTGTTTTATCCCTGTCTGACCCCGACAGTCCAGCGTCCACCCTGAGCTACAGGCTGATTCAGACCCCTCAGTACGGACAGTTGCTCCTGAAGGGGCAGGCGCTGGTTGCTGGAGCTCATTTCACCCAGCAGGACCTGCAGGATCTGGACGTCACCTACAAACACTCTGGAGGAGCTTCTCAGATAGACCGCTTCACTTTCACAGCCTCAGACAGCACAGATAGAGGATTCCTGCTGGACGGGAGAGTGCAGACAGAGCCCGTCTTCTTCACACTGCAGGTCAGTGATATCAATAGTATTATTGTAATGCAGTAATGTCTGTGTAGGACTTAACATATACAGATTTTTTGTTTTCCAACTTTATCATTTGTGTTTGTGTGTGACAGATTGAAGCTCTGGACAGCTCCGCTCCACAGGTGGCAGTGCTGGAAACCCTGTGGAAAGTGGAGCTCCTGAAAGATGGCCGCTACGGGATCTTCATTTCCTCCAGGGAGCTGAAGGCTGAAGATACAAACACTGCAGATGCAGATCTGACCTTTCACATCCTCAGAGCTCCATACATCGGCTATCTGGAGAACCACACCAGCGGTCAGAGATCGATCGATCAATCAATCAATCAATCAATCAATCAATCAATCAATCAATCAATCAATCAATCAATCAATCAATCAATCAATCAATCAATCAATCAATCAATCAATCAATCAATCAATCTTTCTATCGTTTTGTTGTTCTGTCTATCTATATTTTTATTGTTCTATCATTCCATTTATCTGTTGTTTTTTTGTTATTCAATCTGTCATTTTATCAGTCATTTTACCCTTCTAATTGTCACTATATCGATCGCTCTATCTATCGTTCTACCTTTCTATCATTGTTCTTTCATTCTACTCATCATTTTACCCTTCAGTCTTATTGTCATTCTATTGATTGCTCTAGCGTTTGTTCTATCTTTTTATGGTTCAATTTATCTGTCCTTCTATCAATCTTTTTATTATTCTGTCTAATTGTCATTCTATCGATCGCCCTATCTATCATTCTACCTTTCTATCATTTCATCTATCGTTCATTCTATCAATCGCTCTAGCTATTGTTCTACCTGTCCATCATTCATCTGTCATTCTATCAATTGCTCTAGCTATTGTTCCGCCCCATTCACACGGGGCTTCAGCGTCAAGGCTTGACTGAAGGCGTGTCTAAAGTTGGGGCTGAAGCGATCATCATAGAAGCGTCAGCCAATGAAATTCAGTCAGCAATAGGCCACTGTCTAGCTGGTGTATTTGCATACAGCGATCTGATTTGCTGACGCTTCCGTTGGCGCTTGAAAAGTTGAGCTAGTCCCAACTTCTGCAGCGAGTAACGCTTCTGAAGCGGCGCCGACGGATCCACAATGCAGTTCGGCAACGCCTGACGTCACCCATTCAAAGTGAATGGGAAGTGTTGACCCTGACCCCCGTGTGAATAGGGCGTTCTACCTTTCTCTCATTCATCTGTCATTCTGTCAATCATTTTACCCTTCCATCTAATTGTCATTCTATCGATCGCTCTATCTATCATTCTACCTTTCCATTATTCAATTTATCTGTCATTTTGTTGATCATTTTATTGTTCTATCTTATTGCCATTGTACGAATCACTAGTTATTGTTCTACCTTTCTATCATTCATCTGTCATTCTATCGATTGCTCTAGCTATTGTTCTACCTTTTTTATCATTCAATCTCTGTCATTCTATGGATCTTTTTACCCTTCCATCCAATTGTCATTATATCAATCGCTCTATCATCCTAGAACTATCATCCTACCTTTCTATTATTCAATCTATCTGTCATTCTGTTGATCATGTTATCGTTCTATTTTATTGTCATTCTATTGATCACTTTATATATCGTTCTACCTTTCTATCATTCATCTATCATTCTATCAATTGCTCTTGCTATTGTTCTACCTTTTTTATTGTTCAATCTCTGTCATTCTATCGATCATTTTACCCTTCCATCTAATTGTCATTCTATCAATCGCTCTATCTATCATTCTACATTTCTATCATTCAATCTATCTGTTATCCTTTTGATCATTTTATCTTATTGTCATTCTATCGATCGCTCTATGCATTGTTCTTCCTTTCTATCATTCATCTGTCATTCTATTGATCATTTTACCATTCCATCTCATTGTCATTCTATCGATTGCTGTATCTATCTTTCTACCTTTCTATCATTAATCTATCATTCTATCTATCATTTTACCCTTCTATCTAATCGTCATTCTATCGATCAGTCCTACCTTTCTATCATTGAATCTAGCTGTCCTTCTATTGATCATTTTATTGTCATCTTATTGTCATTCTATCGATCACTCTATTTATCGATCTACCGATCTATCATTCATCTATCATTCTATCAATCGCTCTAGCTATTATTCTACCTGTCTATCATTCATCTGTCGCCCTATCTTTCATCCTACCTTTCTATTATTCAATCTATGTCATTCTATCATTCAACCTTTTCATCATTCATCCATCATTTTACCCTCCTATCTAATTGTCATTCCATTGATCGCTCCATCCATCCATCCGTCCATCCACCCTTCCGTCCGTCCATCCATCCATCCATCCATCCATCCATCCATCCATCCATCCATCCATCCATCCATCCATCTATCTATCTATCTATCTATCTATCTATCTATCTATCTATCTATCTATCTATCTATCTATCTATCTATCTATCTATCTATCTATCTATCTATCTATCTCATTCTACCTTTCTATAATTTAATCTATCGATTTTTTTATCCTTATTGTCATTCTATTGATCGTTCTAGCTATCACTCTGTCTATTGTTCAATCTGTCTGTCATTCTATTGTTCTATCATTCCATTTGTATGTCGTTCTTTCGTTCTATCATTCTATCTTGCTATCCATCATTCTGTCATTCAATCTCTTTCATTCTATTGATTATTTTATCATTCTATCATTCAACCTATATGTCATACTATCGATCATTTTATCCTTTTATCAAATTGCCATTCTATTGATTGCTCTATCTATCATTCATAATCTCTATCGCTCTCTCATCTGTCATTCTATTGTTCTATTATTCTATCTGCTGTTCTATTGTACTATCTATCATTTTATGTATCATTCTTTATCTGTCTGTCTATCTATCTATCTATCTATCTATCTATCTATCTATCTATCTATCTATCTATCTAAATCCATCCATCCATCTATCTCCTTCCTTCCATCCATCCATCCATCCATCTATCTATCTATATCCTTCCTTCCATCCATCCATCCATCCATCCATCCATCCATCCATCCATCCATCCATCCATCTATCTATCTATCTATCTATCTATCTATCTATCTATCTATCTATCTATCTATCTATCTATCTATCTATCTATCTATCTATCTATCTATCTATCTATCTATCTATCTATCTATCTATCTCAATCCTTCCAGAGTTCATCAAGACTCTTTGGATTCATCTTCAATGCCTCCTCCCATCTTACCTCAGACATGCTCAATAATGTTCATATCTGGTGACTGGGCTAGTCAATCCTGGAGCACCTTGATCTTCTTTGCTTTCAGGAGCTTTGATGTGGAGGCTGAAGTATGAGGAGCGCTATCCTGCTGAAGAAAACACCGTCTCCTGTGGTTTGTAATGTAATGGGCAGCACAAATGTCCATATATTGATGTGTAATACTTTATTTAAATTTAAAGATCTATGCAAAGACATGTTGTTTATGTATGCGTTTATATTATATACACAAGCAAACTTTTATACTGGATGATTAATCTGTGCATTATATTTAAATAAGCATATCAGAATAGTTGGTAAATATCATATGACTAAAGTATAGTGTAGTGTTGATGCTGCACTTTTTAAAATTTTTAATCTCAGAATGAACAAACATCTTAAAATGATTTTAATTTCCACAATATTACAGTTCTATGTTCACGACTGCGTTCATTTTCATTTGGAGGCATCTCGTAAAGAAAAAACTAGTGAACGGCAGAGTAATTGACACATGAAGTCACCGTGTTATGCTTAAATAAATCAGTTTATTAAAAGCTCTTAACCAAAATGAACTACAATATTATAAAAGAATTGAAAAAGTTAACATTGTCCAGATAAAAAAAAACACCTTTATCCCATCTTTACATACAAAATAAGGCACTTTTCAACGTTCTACCAAGCAATATACAAAAACAAAACCTTTATCATACAAATAAAACAAGACAAGTACAGCTGCATGACTCCTAATACAAGAGGAAAAACATATAGATGCAGCCAACATGAGCAATCTCCAGTGTTTCTCCAGCATTTCTGTGCACCTTCCAGGAAAAACTGAGCTTATCATAATAAAGAGTCCACTTTAATTACTGATCAGTGACCAAATACATAAAAACACAAACATCACACACCCCGAACCAACAGAAAGGCTTAAGACATTAAGACCAGCCGGGTTTAGTTTCTCATGTTTAGCTGAAACATGAGTGAATCTCATAGCAGCTCAAACAGCAGCTGAACAAGCACTGAGTAACCATCAGAAACAGCTTAAACACGCGCATACACACACACACACACACACACACACACTGATCCAACAATCATTCTTCTTCTCTCAGCTCTGTTCATTCAGCTAGTCTTCAGTGTTCAGACAGTGTGGAGGGAGTGCTGGAGGCTCTTCTCTTTCTAATTGTTGTTCTGTTTTGGCTTGAAGTCGTGCAAGCTCCATATGTGATACTGATACACACACACACACACACACACACACACACACACACACACACACATGTGCGCTCATACTGTACACACAAGCATGCAACCACAAGCACAGGCTCACACACAGACACAATCACACGCAGGTACACACACACAAACACACACACACACACACACACACACACACACACACACACACACACACACACACACACACACACACACACACACACACACACACACACAAATATGTGCATGCATACACGCGCACACTCACACACACACACGCTCAAATTACACTCGCACACATGCAAATGCAGGTACACACACATGCTTACATACACGCAGGTACACATGCACGCTCTCACACTTACACACACTAGCGCACACTCACACACATGCAAGCACATGTGAGCACGCACACACAGGGATACACATACACTGTACGTGCATGCATATACACCTGTGTGCTCGCATGCCTGCTCAAATACACTTGCTCTCTTACACGCACATGTGCGCGCACACACACAGGCACATACACACTTACACACACACACTTATATACACACACACACACACACACACACGCGCACAAGCTCTCACACACACACGCACACATGCAAGCACATGCACACACACACACACGCACGCACGCACGCACGCATACACGCTTGCACACGCTCACACATGCATACAAGCACACACACGCATACATGCATGCAAACACACAGAGGTACACACACACACGCATGCTTGGACACATGCACACTCGCACATGGGCTCACACCCGCTCTCACATGAACGCACATGCACACACGCAAGCACACACACACACACACACACACACACACACACACACACACACACACACACACACTCGCTCGCTCAAACACACTTGCTCGCACATGCAAGCGCGCACATACATGCTCACAGACACACATTTACACACATGAGCTTTCACACGTACGCATACAAGCATAGGCACATGCATACTCACACATACACACACACACATACTTGCACACATACACACCAATGTACTCTCACATGCACACTCAAACACACTCCCTTGCAAACGCTTACAAATGCGCACACACATGCGCAAGCTCGTACATGTGATTTGGTGGTTTATGAGGACTCTTCATATTCTTAATGTGTTACACTATACACAATGCTTATTAGACCTCTGTACCCCGATCTGATGTGCTGAACGTGAAAAGAGCCCATTGATTATGATTATTAACAGCGTTGGATTACACTTTTGAACATTTATGTCCTCATAATCCACCAAACATAGTACACACACACACACTCTCTCTCTCTCTCAGTGAATGTAGATGTGTGATCAGAGGAAGCCGTGTTCATCCAGTCCTTTCACTGACACCGGGTTCCACTTTGCAGCGCTTTTACTGGACGCCTGAACTGAAACACAGAGTATTGATGATTAGAGGACACCAGTGCAGCACTTTCACTGCACACTTCTCCAACATTCTTCATAATATCTTCCTCTGTTGAACACAAAAGAAGACATTTTGAAGAATGTTGGAAACCTGTATTTATTTTTCCTACTATGAATGTCAATGGTTGCAGGCTTTCAACATTCTTTAAAATATCTTCTTTAGTGTTCCACAGCAGAAAGAAACTCAAATTGTTTATAACCACAAACAAAAGGAAATTTTGAGTAAACTGTGATTTTTGGGTGAACTATCCCTTTAAATCGAAAATATTGGATCTTCTCAGCTTGACGATACAACTATTTTTGTTATCCGCCTGATAACGATTTTAAAAATAGCATTTACGTTGTGCATTTCCAACATTTTTCAACATATCTCCGTTAAACACTAAAGAAGACATTTTGAAGAAGGTTGGAAACCTGTATTTCTTTCTCCTACTATGAATGTCAATGGTTACAGGTTTCCAACATTCTTCAAAATATCTTTTTTTAGTGTTCAACAGCAGAAATAAACTCATAAAAGGTTTATAACCACTAAAGGAAGAGTAAACAGTGTGTAAATTGTCATTTTTGGGTCAACTATTCCTTTAAATCCAGAAAATGTTTGAATTTATTGGCTTAAAGATATTAATATTTTTAATATCAGCCTGATAACGATTTTAAAAATAGCATTTATATTGTACGTTACCAACATTCTTCAAAATATCTTCTTCTGTTGAACACTAAAGAAGATATTTTAAAGAATGCTGGAAACATGGAATCATCGACATCCATGGTTTTGTTTTTTCCTACTATGGAAGTCAATGCGTACAGATTTCTCAACATTCTTCAAAACATCTTCTTTAGTGTTCAACAACAGAAAGTAAAAAGTGAGTACACTTTCGTTTTTGGGTGAACTATGCCTTCAAATCGAAAATATTTAAATTTATCGGCCTAAAGATTTCAACATTCTTCAAATCATCTTTTGTTTTGAGTTGAGTTTATTTTTGTTGTTGAACATTAAAGAAGATATTTTGAAGAATGATGTAAACCTGTAACCATTGAATTCCACTGTATTTGTTTTTCCTACCATGGACGTCAATGGTTACAGGTTTCCAACATTCTTCAAAATATCTTCTTTAGTGTTCAACAACAAAAAGAAAGTCATTAAAGGTTTATAACCACTCGAAGAGGAGTAAACAGTGAGTAAATTGTTATTTTTTGTTGAACTATCCCTTTAAATCGAAAATATTCGAACTTGTCGGCTTGACGACACACCCATTTTTGATCTTAGCCTGATAACGATTTTAAAAATAGCATTTATATTGTGCATTTCCAACATTCTTCAAAATATCTTCCTCTGTTGAACACCAAAGAAGACATTTTGAAGAACGGTCAAACCCTGTAATCATTGACTTCCATAGTATTTGATTTTCCTACTATGGAAGTTATTATACTATGAAAGTCCTACAATGAAAGTCAATTCCTTCAGGTTTCCAACATTCTTCAAAATATCTATCAGCACGATATTGATCAGTATGTGTGTGTGCTGTACCTGCTGCTCTGCTGTGTGTTTCTGCAGGAGCGGGAGACACTTGTTCCCCATAGTCGCTCTCTCCAGATGAGGTTTGCTCTCTAGAGTCAGCAGTCATGTACAGCGGTGCTCTCCTCTTGTGATATTTAGCGCGGTACGTGTCCGTCATGCAGGCATCAACCGAGAAATACGTCGTTGGAATCACCGGAGATCCAGAAGCCGCTCTGGAGATCCGCTCTTCAGCATCCTGATCAGAAGAACCAGATCTGGAGCTGCTGTCCGACGGGATCATCCGGGAATCAGACGAGTTTTCCAGCCACATAGAGGGTTTTCCAGTGAAGGAGCCGGGGTCTGCTTGTGGTTTGGGAGGAAGCGGAGGGGAATCAGAGGAGTTTTCCTTCCACTTGAGAGTGGTTGAGCCGAAGTCTGCGTGTGGTTTAGGATGAAGCGGAGGCTCTGGGTTTGGACAGGGAAGCGATGGCAAACCCGCATGTTTTCGGGAATCCTCCAGATTATCTGAAGTGATCCAGTTTGAGTTGCTGGTTTTGATGAAGGGTGGAGAGACGGAGCTGCCGTTCAACATTTCTTTACATCTCGACACCTGACCTCTGCAGAAGGGAAAGCATAGGAAGTTCATCACAATCAGAATTATTCACAATTTTCATTCATTCATTCATATGTTTATTCACTCATTTTTTCATTCATTCATTCATTTGTTTATTCATTTATTCCTTTATTAGTTCATTCATTCAATTGTTCAGTCATTAATTAATTAATTAATTAATCCATTCATTCATTCATTCATTCAATTGTTCAGTCATTTTATTTATTCGTTCATGCATTCGTTCGTTTGTTCGTTCATTAATTTATTTATTCATTCATTCGTTCGTTCGTTCATTCATTCATTCATTCATTTATTTGTTCATGCGTTTATTCATTTGTTCATTCGATAATTTGTTCATTCATTCATTCAATTGTTCAGTAATTCGTTCATTTATTCATTTAATTGTTTAGTCATTCGTTCATTTAATTGTTCAGTCATTCATTTAATTGTTCATGTATTCTTTAATTCGTTCGTTCATTCATTATTTCGTTTTTATTCATCAGTTTATTCATCCATTCATTTGTTCATTCATGCATTCGTTAATTCATTTTTCAATTATTCATTCGCTCATTCATTCATTCATTCATTCATCCGAGTCATTTGTTCGTTCGTTCGTTCATTTATTAATTTCTTTCATTTGTTCATTCATTCATTTCTTTATTCATTCATTTGTTCGTTCGTTTATTAATTTGTTAATTCATTAATTTGTTCATTCATTTATTCAATTGTTCAGTCATTCATTCAATTGTTTATACATTTATTCTTTCATTCGTTTATTTATCCGTTTATTCATCCATTAATTTGTTCATTCATTTATTCATTCGTTCATTCAGTCATTTAATTGT